CAGTGCATGCTCAGTGCAGCTTGACCTCACACCATTCTTTCTGTGGCACAATGACTCATTCTGCAGTGAAAAGGAATGAATTCCTCCTTGAATCATCAGCAGCAAAACTTTGTAGGTTTTGTTTTTCATAGCCAGCACGTCGACTCATCTCACCTTGTCTGAGAAGTGACGTCAAAGCACACACATTTGGGGTAACTTAGGGCTGGAATGTGACCTGCAGCATGTGTGCTATACCCTGGGCTGCCACCTCTGAGGCACCCGAGCAAGGCAGGGGAGCATGGAGATGCCTGGAGATGAGAAGGCTGAGGGGAGACCTTATAGCACTCTTCCAGTAACTAAAAGGGGCTACAAGAACCTTGGAGAGGGGCTTTGGACAAGGGCCTGTAGGGACAGGCCAAAGGGAATGGCTTTAATCTGCCAGAGTGGAGACTGAGGTGAGCTCTTAGGCAGAAGCTCTACCCTGTGAGGGTGCTGAGGCGCTGGCACAGGGTGCCCAGAGAAGCTGTGGCTGCCCCATCCCTGGCAGTGCTCAAGGCCAGGTTGGACACAGAGGCTTGGAGCAAGCTGCTCTAGTGGAAGTGTCCCTGCCCGATTGGAACTGAATGAGTTTTAAGGTCCCTTCAACCCAAACCATTCCATGATTCTATGTGCTCAGAGCTCACCCCATCCACCCCCCCTGTTCTTGAGACAGGACCAGCTCCAGGGGCTGCACCCCGCAGATGGACACAAGGCACAGCTGGTGGCAGAGGGCTGCTAAAACCTCCCTCTGCCTTGTCAGTGCCAGCCACCAGCGTGGCACAACCTCCAGCCTGAGCTCCTGGCCCCAGCCAGGCCTCTTGCCCCACGGCTATTTCAAGTCCCTGCGTTTGGGACAATCTGAAAGTGCCCTGACTCATCTCACCCCACCAGCTGCAAACCACAGCGTGATCCTTGGCCGGCGGCACGTGTGCCAGGGTGCTCTGTGCCACGGGGGATTGATCCCTCCCAGGCCTTTCTTGTTATTGTTCTTCTCAGCAAGGTTGATGGGGGCTGATGACACTGGTAGGTGATGCACTGCAGCATCAGTGCCTGCTCCAGCCCGGGTGGACAACCCTCACTGGGGAGGTGGGCACTCAGGGCAGTTGCAGTTAGGAAACACAGAGGAGAAGTCCCTCCAGGCTTTCAAACCCCATTCTGCAGCTCCATCCTCTCTGGAAATACAATTGCAGTGTTGCTGTAAATGTGCCTTTTCATTTCTGTAGCAAGGCTGAGGTGGCACAGCTAATTCCCCATCCTGCCCTCAAAGGGCTGTGCTGGGAGGGATGAGATAAAGCTGTCCTCAGAGCCCTTTCCAGTCCCTCCACAGCTACTGAAGGACAGCAGATGACTTGGGGTGACTTGAGGTTGGAGCCATGATGCTGGGCACCATGTTAATTTGCGGGTGTGGGTAGTGAGCAGCTCCATCACCGCTGCTCTGAGCTGTATTAAAACACAGCTTTGGGGAAGAGGTACAAGAAGATGCTTCACCAAACCACAGCATATCCCCATGGTGTCCCAGCAGCACCTCCCCGCATCCTCCCAGGGGACCTGCTGAGAGGACACTAAACCAATGCCCTCAAGTTAAATCAGTCCACTCAGCAGAAAACACATCAGGTTATCTTGATGGCAGAAGACATTGTCAGCTGGTAGCTTCTGGCTTTGAAAAGCCTCTTCAAAGTTCATGTGCTGCAGGAATTAAATCTAGACCTTGTGAAAGAAGAGGAATTGAGTCCATTTCCCTGCCATGCAGATCTCTGTTCATGTGGTAGGATTTAACAGCAAAGACACGTGTGGCAGCCACAGCACAGCTGGAGCCAGCCAGGAGATGCAGACGTGGCTGTGGACCACAACCATTAGCAGTTGTGTTTAAAGCAGGGATCAACACTGAAGGAGTTTCCTCTGTTTCTCCAGATCTTTGTGCAACGTTTCCTTTTTCCTTGGTTGGTTCAAGTGGGAGATGGATTCCTGTAACAAACTCCCTAATGGAGGAAGTGGGAAGGGGATGAATAGCCGCCTGCAGAAGTTTTTGTCTTTCCTCCTTCCTAAGCATCCTTCCCCAACAGCTTTTTATGCCTTTAAAAGAGTAGGAGAAAATGAGCAAGGCAAGAGTAAATGTAAAAGGGACATGGGAAAGGGCAGCTCTTCTTACTGGTGCAACATCTTGTTTCCCACCTGAACTGATGGGGAATCCAAGCAACTGAGCTGCAGTCTATTGTACTGCCAAGTTAACAACCTTCTGCTTCGATGGAGAAGGAGGACGGGCCATGCCTCTGCTGTAACCACACATGCTCTGTGCTTTTCACTGTTGAGGTATCCTGTGGATCGGTATCAGGACTGTTCAGCTGCCTTTGTAGTGGTCTGTGTCTTCTGTCATTGCTCCAGAAGCTGTTACCAGTCATCAGACAGCGAGGCTGGTGGCTGGTGCTGTGCATTGGATCAGGCATGGTGCAAATGAGGAGGAAAGATCTGCCCCACTTTGAAATGCTTAAGCCAAGGTTTTCAAAGCAGCTTAGCATTGAGCTCGTTCTGCTCCAGTGCCACGGTACAATGTACACATAGAACTGCATATCCCTAATTTAGGCTTTCTGGCTCTTAAATAGGCTAAACCATGGCTACTTTTAGGAATATCACTGAAAAGCTCTTCTTCATCTCATTTCTTGGGCAAGAATAGTAAAAGCTCAAAGCTACAAACGTATATTTAACTAAGCAGGAACCAACCCAGAGCCACTCTTGATGGGAAGCCCACATAGCCGTGGCCCTGCTGCAGGACTGTACCACCCCAGTTTGTGCTGGGAGGGGAATCACATTCCCAATATCCCGCTGTATGCTGTAAATCTACACCTGGTAAGCATCAGGGATTAGGGTTTTCACTCATTCTTGAATGCAAACCTTCACGCCTCTTGGTTTTTATTTGCATGAGCAGCCTTTGTGGGATAGACAGATGTAAAGCAGCATCTCCATCGGTCTGTTTTCCTTTCCGCTTCATGGGTTTCCTCCTTGGAGTAGGGATGCAAAACACAGGACTTGCCCAGGGCTCTTGGGCTGCTGTGCAAGCAACTCAGAGCAGCAAGGAGAGGTCCAGGACAGGTTCTCCAGAGCCATCAGCTCTGGCCGCTCCACCTCCACCAAAGCCAACTGGCATTGTGTGCTCACTGTGCCTGAGCAGAATCATGACCAAAGTGAAAGGCACCCCTGAATCAAGCCCAGAGATCACAGAACCACTTGCCACTGGTCTCCACTTGGACACGGAGCTGCTCACTGCAGGTCTCTGAGTGCAGTCATCCAGCCAATTCCATATCCACTGAGTGGTCCATCCGTCATATCCATGTCTCTCCAGTTTAGAGACAAGGATGTTATGCGGGCCAGTGTCAAACACTTTGCACAAGTCCAGGTAGATCATAGAATGGTTTGGGTTGGATGTCACCAATCAATCACATCCTTAGTTTCCATGTGCTACAGCTTCTCAGATATGATGGACAGCAGCTTAGCAAGTGCATCCACCAGTTCCCTCAGGACCCACGGATACATCTTGTCATGTCCCATGGACTTGTGCACCTCAGGTTCTTTAGATGTTCTCAAACATGGTCTTCTCTTAGAGAGGGGCTGTTCTCCATTCTCCCAGTCCCTGCCTTTGCATTCTGTAACTTGGGCAGTGTGGCTGGAACTCTTGCTGGGGAAGACTGAGGCAGAAAGGTCACTGAGTAACTCAGCCTTCTCTGGGGTAACTAGGCCTCTCATTTCCTTCCAGAGAGGGCCTGCGTTTTCCTCAGTCGTCCTTTTATAGATCATAAATGACTTGCCAAAGGCCACACAGCACATCATCTGTAGATGTCCTGGTGGGACACAAGAAGTCAGGCCAGCAATACCCGCAGGCCCTGCAGAGCTGTCGTGCCTGGTTCGTGCTCATTTTCTCCCCATTTTGGGGTGCTGTTGGTCCTGTTTCTCTTTCTGGATGTGTCTGGGACAAATTCTAACATTCCACCACCAAGGCAAAGCCAGTTTGAGTTTAAAGGCAACCATGGGCGAAACCGGGCATGTAGGAAGCAGCTTGAGACGCTGGAGGCGAGGAGGCTGGCAGAGGCAGCAGTGTGTGAGTGTGTGCATGTGTGTGTGTTTTCCTTACAGCTCTGTTGATCAGTTCCCCCCTCTGCTCCAACACACAGGAATACTCCCCATTGTGTTCACCAGAAAGCACCTTTTACAATGATGTTGGGTTCCAATGGCCTCGCCGTGTGTAACCAGGAGTAGCTACAAGGGGGTTTGTTGCATCCCCAGCACTGCTTCAGCTCCCTCCAGTCCTCCTCCCAGAGGTTGGACCCATGGGGATTTCATCCCAAGGGTGACCATGTCCCATTCTCAAAGGCATTGCCCTCAGCATGGCTCTCCCAGTCCCGCTTAGGAAAGCCCAAGCATGGCTTTCAGAGTGAATGTGCAGGATGTGAAAGTCCGGATTTAGACCCTGTGGTAGCACAAGGACAAAAACAAGAGCAGTGCACAGCACTGGCGTAAAGCTGTTGTAAGTTACTACCCAATTGGTATTATGGGGTTGTCCAGAGAAGCTGTGGCTGCCCCATCCCTGGCAGTGTTCAAGGCCAGGTTGGATACAGGGGCTTGGAGCAAGCTGCTCTAGTGGAAGGTGTCCCTGCCGGTGGCAGGGGCTGGAACTGGATGAGCTTTAAGGTCCCTTCCAACCCAAGCCGTTCCATAATTCTGTGATTCTATGATTGGAGCTGGTTTCCCCCTGCCCATGCAGTTGTGTTCAGCTGCTGTCATTGCTTCATTTATGGGTTTTTCTTGCAGGAAGCTGTAGTGTTTATTTAGGTGGGCAAGAGCATTCGTTCTCTGCCTTGTCCTGGAGAGTCACTGGGGACTTAGGATCATTCCCAGCCTCACTTGTAACAACAGGACTGCAAAGGGCTCTGTTCCTCCTTGCTCACGGAGCCTGACAGCTTCTGAGCCCTCTCCCTCCTTGTGTCTTGCAGTCCAACAAGGTTCCTGTTGTGCAGCCATCGCACGGCGTCCACCCGCTCACCCCGCTCATCCCTTACAGCAACGACCATTTCAGCCACGGCTCCCACTCGCCCCACTTGCCCGCTGACATCAACCAGAAGCAAGGTAATGGCACCACTGGGGACCTGCGTGATGGGAGGGGGGACAGTGCTGGGGACCACTGAGACCAAGGCTGTCACCATCCTGCTCCCAAATCAATGGGAGACAAGAGCTTTGGTGAGCTGGGGCAGTGCTCAGCAGTAGTTTATTTAGCTCATTGGTAATGCTTTGTAATCGTGGTCAGGAGGAGTTTGACATCAGAAACCCCAACCCTGCTGATCAAATGTGCTCAGTTCTCTGTGCAAGCTGTCCTGTAGCCTGGGACCAGACCAGAGCCTGCAAGGTGATGCATAAGAGTCAACCAGAAAATGGAAAGTAATCTTTCCTTTGACTCATACCCAAACTGTTGTCAGGTTGTCATTTTGAGAAAATAAATGCTTGAAACAGGAAATATTTTGACTAAATAGGATGGGTGTCTGATAGCTGCCTGGATTGTTACATGTGTGTGTCTGTAGCCACACGTTATGTGGTTGTCACACAGTTTGGCTCTTTGGGTTCCTGTGTGAGCGCAGGACACGTCAATTGGCTCGTGAGGCTGCAAAGGAAAGTACAGTAGGTCGAGGTTAATTCACTGTGAATTATAGTTATGTGCACAGGAATCCACCCCAGCCCATTGTTCTTCGTGGGTTACTGGCAAGCTGAGTGTAAAATCAAACCTTACATTACAATCAAACTTATCTCAATCTTACATTAGTGCAACAGGATCTTTCAACATCTGTTCAGATTACCCAGGTTTCTGCACAAACTCGGTCTTGATTTCATGTGAAAGCAAGTGAATTCATGGGTTTGTGTCTGACTACATTCAGGAAGGGATTCAGGGTCCATCACAGCCCAGAAATCAGTGTGAAAACAGAGGCATAAAGTGAACAGCTGTGATCTGGGCAAAGGCAAAGGTTTGGATCCAAACTATCCCAGAGATAATCAGCTTCAATGAGTTAATATCACTGATAAAAGAGTGGGGATTGAGGATGCTCCTGGCTGGAGGACAGGCTGAATTATCCCTGGTCTGAATGCAGAGGTCATGTCCTGGACTTGTCAGGGATGCTGATGGGGAGGATTTAGGTCCAGTGATACCCAGGTACATCCTGGTTTTCTTTCCAGTCTCCCCTTTCCTGTTTACCCTGTACATTTACAGGGGCGGGGGGAGTCTGTCCATCCCAGAGACATCCCCAGTCCTGTTTGTGAAGAGGTTCAGACAATTGTCCTCAGCTGGGACCTGTCTCTGGGGTACAGCTTGCTAACTTTGCATGCCCCATCCCTGCACTGCTGGGTTGAAGGTTTCCTTCCCCACTCATCCTGGATGTGTCCCATCCCTGAAATACCCCCCATTATCAGCCAGTGCAAGCACTTGCGAGTCACCATCTACTCATTCTCACAGCATCCCTTTAAAGTACTTCACAGTAGCCCAAGGACACGCAGACAAGGAAGTACAAGCAGGATCTTCTGAGTCAGTGGCTGGTGCCCAGCCACTGGGCTAGCGAGAAGAACTGGTGCTCTGGCTCACACAACTTGTTGGAGGTGCAAATACCAGGAAATCCTGGCAGCTGCCTAATGTGGAGGCTGGATTTGTCTGACCTTCAGTGGGCTGCTGCATCCCACTTAAGCACAGCTGTACATAAATCTCATGCTATTCATCTTCCTTTCAATTTGATTATGTGTTTATTTTAGTTGCCTCCTAATAAGATGCTTGGAATCTGCTGGTGTCATTCCTAAATCATAATTTATCATTAATACACCCAGGAGAATAATCCAGGCTTAAACTGCTTGCAGCTACTCACCCATTTATCCAGTGCATTTATTGCTCAGGACAGCTGCTGGACAATCTCTGTACATGATATTTGCTCAGAGGCTCTGTAGCTGCCAGCATTACAGGATGCTGCAGCAGAGCTCAGCTCCAGTTTCCAGTCTGGTGCTTATCTGGAGGCTCCTTTGCTGGTTGTCTGAGTCCCACCCGCAGCCCCCAGGCTGTTTTCAAGTCCAAATAGGAGCTGTGGCTGTCTCCTCTGGCCGTGCCACCCGTGCCAGCAGCTTTGAAGATCACACAGGGATTCCCCGTGTGAAGGGTGAATTCCCAGCTGGCACCGTACCCACCTCCACTCTTCCTTGGCACCCACAGAGCTCGTGAAATGATTGCTTTGAGCAAGGACTTATGGTATAGAACCGAGATAGCAGAGGTGCTGCTGGAGCATCCCCACTGGCCACTCCTAGGGGGTCCTAGGGATGACTGATGGGAAGGAAGGTGATGACTGAAAGGGGTGTAGGAATGGCTTTGACCATCAGTTATGCCCCTGAAGAGGCAGTCTGGAAGGGCACGGGGATGTCTGGAGTCCATCAAATCCTTACCAAAGCAAGCTGCTGCTTGGCTTCAGGGTAGCCCGGAGCAGGGATGCTGCTTGTGCAGGAGCAGACCTGCCTTCTCCATCACATTATGAGTGTTTGTGATTCTGCAGCAACACGGCTGACCCAGCACATCCCCCCAGAGAGAACCACAGCAATAAAAAGAGCAATTACAATATCCTGCTGCTTGCAGACACCTATTTCACATGCATTCCCTGCTGCCCACGAGTGCCTGTAGATGGAGCAGTCAGGGGGTCGGGAGCCGTTTGGGTCAGCTGGGGTGCATGGTGCTGGGTCCAACTCACCTCCTTTTCCCTTCTCCCTTCTTCCAGGGGTGCACCGTCCATCCCAGACCTCAGACATCCCCGGATTCTACCCCCTCCCTCCCGGTGGAGTCGGACAGATCACGCCGTCGATGGGATGGTGAGTGTGGGGGCTCAGCCCCAGCTGCTCCATGCAAGGAACAAATGTGCAGCCATTCTCCGTAACCTCCACGGTGCTTTCACCCTTCTCCATCCCTCCCGTATGCTGCATGGTGGGGAGCAGGATTTAGAGTTGTTTTAAAGACATCTCTGGAGAGGCTGAAGGCTTTGTCCCAGCTGGAGTATGCTTGAAGCAGGGTTACAACCTGCCTGATTCAGAACTGTCTGCTGCCTTACATCTATCTGCCTGGGCGGATTAGGAAACCCAGGGAGAGCTTTCTACCCACCTCTCTTAATCACACAAAAGCCTCTCTTTTTAAGTAGGAGGTAATTTTCTCCTCACTGGGGTTTTCAGCACAAACAGTGTTTTCCCTGAGCATGCCACTGGCACAGTGTAATCCAGTGGGATGCTGCATCCGCTCAGCCACAGTGCTTCTCAGGGTCTGACACACAGCGGAGCCCATTGAGAAACCTGCCCCAGGGACATGAGTTAAAAATGCATCAGTTTGTGCTCTGTGGTCATTGCTCCTGGCTTTTGTCACCCTGATGGTAAGGACATGGAGAGAGCTGGTCTGGTTACTCTTCAGGTGAATTTTCATGCCCATCAGTGACACAGGGGCCTTGTAGAAGCTTGTGGGGAGCCTGGTGGCTGCAGGCAGCGATTTGGGGTGGCCAGGACAGGGGGAGAATATGGAGAAGGTGATTGTGGGGCAGGCAGATCCCCAGCAAAGCCCAGCAGAGACCTCCAGGTACAAGCAGGTATTGCAGAATGGGAGAGGCGAAGCATATTAAAACACAAAGTAAAATGTTAGCTTTTTGGTTTGTTTTGTTTGTGAATCTCATGTTCCAGATATTTAACCACAAGGAAACAGAGGCTGAGGCCTTTGATACGGAGCTTGGCTTCAAAGAGATTACATTTTGCCTTCTGTGCTAAATCTGCTACTCTTGGGCGATGATTTAACTCCTCACACGATGTGATTCATCCTCAGGAAAAACAAGTACTGGGGTGACTGTGCTGTAACATGAAAGCAAGAGTTTGGGGTGAGGAAGGAGACTGTTTGCCAAATGCAAGGTCCACTCGTGGGGTGGGATGCTGTTGGGGGCAGCCCTGGGAAGGAAGCCTGGTTTGCACAGGTTGGTTGCTTGGTGTGAGAGGGGTTTTGCATTGCTGAGAGCTACTCTAGCATTGCAGGGGTTTGGCATCCTCAAGCAACCTCGTCAGACACGTTCAGGAGTGACTAATAGACCAGATACAGTAAAGCAGCCAACGGCCTGGTGGAGCAGAGAGCAGCACCTCAAAGCACACGTGTCTATAACAGAGCCTTTGCTTACCCCTTTGCCTGCCCCAGATTTATGGAGAGAGCCCCAAAACCACTCCTGATGTGCCCAGTGCTCAGCTGAGGCTCACTGTGGTTGGGTGCATAAGCACCAAAGCATAGAAGGGTTGTGGCAGCACTGACCCCCATGCAGCAGGGGCTGAGTGCAGGATGGTTGTGCTGGGGATGCTTTAGCCGGTGCCATGTGCAGGAAGCAGCTTTTCCTCCAGGATCTGCTCAGAAATGGGGTTTGTTCTCACTGAGCACTCAGGAGGAGGAGCTGCAGTCACCCTCTGTAATTAACTGGGATGACAGTCAGATAAAAGCCTCCAAGTCCAGTCAGGTGAGTTTTGCTCACGGGAGCCTGGCAGCAAACATCACCCAGGAGCCTGTGAACCGTGTCCCTCACCCGCTCCAAGCAGTGCCAATGCCACTGCAGCCCTTCCATGCCCATCCCGTGTCTTTTTCCCCTCCTATCACCGGGTGACACAGCCGTAATCGCGCATTCCCAACCATTAGGGACTGGTTTAGCCCTTGCATTCATTTGCACGTCAGACTCAGGCTGGATGAAGCCGCCAGTGCCCTTTTCTATCCCTGCATCCCAGCTCTGCAGTACCGTGTGTCGCTTCTGGATGAGCTCCGAGTGTTTTCTCAGCCCTGGGGCAGCCGCCTTTGACTTCAAAGGGTGTTTCAGCTTCCCGATGCTGGGTAGCACTTGGCTGTTTGTTGGGGTGTTTATACCCGCCGACATCTAAGGGGTGGGAGAGGGCTTCTGCCTGGCAGGGTGTAAACACAGCCTTTCCTGCACACAGATCCGCTCAAGCCAAGACACAGCAGCTCCCGGAGCAGCACAAACAGAAACCCTCCTCCCCAGCAAAGCTCAAGGGCCTGTCGTTATTCCTCTTCAGGGCAGAAACTATCTTTAGCCCTGAAAAATCCCTGGCATCCAGGAGCTCGTTGCAAGGCACTGCACTTAATGATAATGGGCTTTTTTTATTGCTTGTTAGAGCTGAAAATAGCCAATGCTGGTCTTAAGCACAGCTTTATGCAGGCTGGCTGGAGGGAGCATGAGCATCAGCATGGATTTAAGCACCCCAGCGTGCCCTCCTTGGCCACCCCAGTTTCTATGCACAGTTTTAGGCTGGGAGCATCTTCTGTCAGGTTTGCAGAACAAGCCTGGGTGTTTTTGAGCTATCTCCGTATGAAAACAAGGGGGGTTCCCTCGCTGGGAACAACAAGGAACTTCCTGCATAGTTATTTTACTACCTCAGGAATAATTCCCAGCTCCAGTCTGGTACATGCCTGGTCCCCAATATGAAATGGCTTTGAAAAGAAAGGTAGGACTGAGGTTTTGGTGTGTTTAAAAATGATGGGCATCCTTAAAATGATGCACTGGGGAAATCAGAGCATTTATAAAGCACGGGCAAGGTGCTTACTCTCCATTCCTGTCCTTGGGCATCCTCCCAGTGCAGCCCATGACATGCAGTCTCTTGTGCACCACACAGAGAGAGGCTCTGACCACGCTTTAGGGTTTTTTGGTCTAACTGTGGTCTTTTAAGCAACTCCTTCTGTATGGTAGCCACATGTCCTAATCCTTCAGCACACCTCTGCATTTTGCGTGTTAACAGGATAAGCTCAGTGCTGCAGTTACTGCATCAGGGATGGAGGGGGGGGTCACTTGGATCCAAGCTTTGCAGGGAGGCCCAGCTTCTCCCAAAATAAAGCCCAAATCCTGCGCCTTAAAGCCCAGGGGACACCAGGAGCATCCCACCAGTCAGAGCTGGGGCATCGGTGCTCCAAGTCCCCTTAGCAAAGAGAATCTTTAGGAGACACCACGTAGCTGTGGGTACTTTATAGACTCTTTCTTCCTGATCCCAGGCAGAGCCAGTCTGTCTATCCGCTCCCGTCATGTGGATTTAGGCAGCCGTATTCGTCAGCGCTTTCTGCTGGGGCTTCTTTCTCCAGGTGAGTATGAGCTGTGTGAGACAGGGCAGCAGCTCGGCCCCGCTCGCAGCTTGCAGTGTGTGCAATGGAGCTTGCAGCAGACCACGGCCACGCGCTTCCCGTGGCAGCCATGGGAAGAGAAGGAGGTTTTAGGCATTGTCTGGTCCAAAGGGTGCGCAGGGGAACATGGAGCATCCCAGGAGGATGCAGTGACTGAGGTTTAATCAGCAGAAACCCCTGTCTTCAGCTCAGCATTGGGAAAATGGGGTGAAATCCATTGCTCAGGATTTTGCTCCTTGTCACAATCCTAAGCCTGAATATACCCCTGCTGCCACACCACTGAGTTTTGCTCTGCGGGGACTGATCTGTGTTACTTGCTCTCAGCCTTTGAAGCAGGACAGGCAGCGGGCAGTGATCTGCTGTCCTCCCATCAGCACAAGTCAGCTCTCTGAGACTGAAGTGCAGCTTCCACCTTCCCCATCCCATCATCAGGCAGAGAGCATGGGCTGGACCCTGCACATGGGAAGCGGTCAGCAGGAGGTGGCCATGTCACTGCCTTGCTTTTCCCTGCAAGGACGTGGCCCTGCAGCACAACCTACCTTAAATAGTGGGTGCGTTGAGCCACGTAGCAAAGCACCATTCATACTGCAAGTTTGTGGTCACCCAGGACCAAATACTGCCCTCTGTAAATACACCCAGAGCCCAGCGATGTCCCAGTGAGCAGCGCTAGGGATGCCTGTGCACACCACATGTGCTCACACAGCAGCTTTTGCTTCTGCTTTGTGTTGTCCTGAAGAGCCATTAGCGGAGGTTTCCCACAGGAAAACCATGCAAACCCTTAGCCATGCAAAAACCTCCATCCATGCATCCCTGGATCCAGGCAGCCCCTTAGCCCTGCAGCAGAGGTGAGGGACGCTGCCAGCCCTCCTTACTCACTGGGGCATCGCTTTGCCCAGCCTTGATGATGAAGGCTAGAAAGGAGCTAACGGTTCCCTTTGGAGGCCATCAGCCTCCTGAGCCCAGCACAGGAGCTCCTGCTTGCAGGATTTGGGATGGGTTTTGCAGCCCTGCTGCAGCCCTAAAAGTACACCTGGTCAGATAAGGATCAGACTGTGCTGGTGGAGTCAATTAAACAGCTTTTCTTTCTGTGCCAGCATATCTAACGAACAGTTCATCTCCCATGGGCAATTCTGCCATCTCAAGCTGCAGTCATAACGTGGCAAGCTTGGCAAAGCTGGCTGCGCTGGCTTTACCCTCTGAAACTCTCGAGGGAGCTAATGAAGCCTGAAAGCTAGCGAGACCTCTCATGATCTCAGAGCCGTGTTGGTGGAGAGCGTTGCTTAGGGAAGGTGCACCTCCTAGAGTTGCAGTTCGGTTCATGTTCAGACTCATGCTGCTTCTGTTAAAAGAAAGGTGCAGGGTGGTCCTAATCTCTCCCATCCAAACCTGGGTTGAGTTTGTTGTTCCTTTCTGCAGTGCTCATAAGATATTGCAACAACAGAGATCTGAGTAGCTGAAACCACTGGTTGAAAGCACCCTTGATCTCAGTGGGGCTGGCTCCTGATCAGGCTTCCTCATGGCAGCACCCAGACTCTTTCCAGCCCCATTCCAGCTATGGGGGCAACCCAGTGCTGGTGGGCAGCTGCCTGCCCTGCACCAGCATCGCAGCACTCACGGGTTTGCTTTCCATGTCCTTTGCTTTCCCGTCTGCTTCTGCCTCGTCAGAGTGCCAGTTCGTGAGACACCGCTCCGGCTGCCCCAGCATCCCGAGCATTCCCAGCACAGCCCTCCCGGCCGGCTCATCCGCTCTCTGTTGCAGGTTCACTCACCCGCTGATGCTGGGCTCTGGCATGCACACCACCGGCATCCCGCACCCCGCCATCGTGCCCCATTCCGGCAAGCAAGAGATGGAGCACTATGACCGGAACATGTGAGTTCATAGAGTCATGGTTTGGGTTGGAAAGGATCTTAAAGCTCATCCGGTCCCAACCCCTGCCACGGGCAGGGACCCCTTCCACTAGAGCAGCTTGCTCCAAGCCCCTGTGTCCAACCTGGCCTTGAGCACTGCCAGGGATGGGGCAGCCACAGCTTCTCTGGGCACCCTGTGCCAGCGCCTCAGCACCCTCACAGGGAAGAGCTTCTGCCTAAGAGCTCATCTCAGTCTCCCCTCGGGCAGGTTAAAGCCATTCCCCTTGGCCTGTCCCTACAGGCCCTTATAAAAAGCCCCTCTCCAGATTTCTTGTCAGCCTTTTTTAGTTATTGGAATACTGTTAGAAGCTCCCCCCCTGAGAAGCTGGAAGTTGAGCCAGCAGGGTTCAACAGCATTAATGCTTTAATACCCATTTAATTTATCACTGTTAATGCTTGCGGGTGGATGAACACTGAGCTCTGCCTGCATCAGGCAGCAGCACGTGTCCAGGGTGCAGATTTCAGGTCCCCCCATCGGGTTGGTTTGGTGTTGAGTCTTTAGAGCTTGGTGTCACCAGGCAGCCAGGCTGGAGGCACCTGATGCTCACAACTCCTCCTTTGGTCCTACCAAGGAAACCTCAACCAGAACCAAAGAGAGAGAAGGAAGCCAAGAAGCCCACTATCAAGAAGCCCCTGAATGCTTTCATGTTGTATATGAAAGAAATGCGGGCGAAAGTCATTGCCGAGTGCACCCTGAAAGAGAGCGCCGCCATCAACCAGATCCTGGGGCGGAGGGTAAGGACACGGGGGCTCAGCACCATCACCCCAGTGCAGCATCCCCATCCCTTGCACCTGCTCTTAAGCACGTAACAATCGTCTTGCTTTCAAAACCGGCTGCTCTTATCCCTTGAACACATGGAGTCGGATGTGCTCCAGAGCGGGGTGGCCATGGTGGGATGGGCAGTGGGGGGGACAATGGGGCCATATCTCACTGTCACTTGTCCTTGCAGTGGCACGCGCTGTCCCGGGAGGAGCAGGCCAAGTACTATGAACTGGCTCGCAAGGAACGGCAGCTCCACATGCAGCTCTACCCCGGCTGGTCTGCCAGGGACAACTACGTGAGTGGCTGCTCTGGTCGGGTCCCCTCCCTATGGCATGGGCTGCAGTGACCCGGGGTGGGGGGCTGACAACTGGGGTTTGCCAAACAACCCGCCTGTCCCCGGTGATGCCAAAACAGACCAAAACCACCCCAAAAAGAGAGGAGAGATGATTCAGAAAGAGCATAGGTGATGCGGCACCCCCAGCCTGCAGCGGCACAATGTCCCTGCCTCCTTACAAGCACAGAGCAGGAGCTCAGCATCCATATGCAGCTTTGCAGAATCAGTGCTGGATGCTGCTGCCCTCCAGAGCTGCCCTTAGAGAAGCACCAAATGTGGCAACATCTGAAGGGCAGCAGCATCATGACAGCAAGGCATCATCATCTTCCAAAGATGAAGTACACCCTCCATGGAAATCTCCATCCCATAGCATCCTTCCTCTTGGCAAGGGCTGGTTCCTCTCTCCAGAAGATGCATCCAGAGGACAGTGGGCTCCAGAGGTGCCCATTGGCTCTCCCAGCACTGGCAAGAAGCTGCTTCGAGTCTTGTGGTTGTCGTAAGAGATGCTTTTCTCTCTGGAGCTCGAGCAGGAAGGAGGAGGAGGAATGTAGGTCACTTGTGCAGCACATGATGCGGATATCAGGCAGGAAATACAGTTGCTCCCACACTGAAGAAAAAGCTCACCGCAGCTCAGAGCTTTCCACCTTCACTCAAACCACAAGAAGTCATAGACAGAGTCAGAGGTCAAAGGCAGCCCTGCGAGCTGCCTGCTCCACACAGGCCAGATTTGCTCCTGTGCTGCTCTGCCCTCATGATAAGCTCATGAGGAGATGAGGGGAATTGTGTGTTGTGAATCAGAGGCAGTTTGGGGAAATAATTGGGGTTTCTTGTTAGTGAGGGGAGCAAGAAGAATGAGAGATGAGTCCAGAGCTGCAAAAAGACTGAAATAGAGAAGCAGTATTTGAATGTTAATTTCTGGGGATTTCCCAAAGCTTTCTTTCCCATTGGAAATGTGGAACACTCCTCCTGGTTATGCTATGGAGCAATTCCTGTTTGGGTGTAAGGTACCACATTAAAGCAGCAGCAGCTTTCCCCAGCAACCCAGTCCAGCCCCAAAACTGGTGTGCAGCACCCTCAGTTCAGAGCATGACCTGACAGACTTTCCTTTGATTCCCTAGGGTAAAAAGAAGAGACGAACACGGGAAAAGCAGCAAGATTCCAACTCAGGTAAATGTGTGTGGCTTCGGTACCCCTTCACAGGGGATAATCCAAAGCAGTTGTCATGTTTTACCATGTTTCCTTTTATTCTCCCAAGTTAACTAAAGAAATACACATGTATTTAGTTTTTAAGATGCAGCAAATGAACATTTCTGTGACTTTTCCATAGAGAACTTCAAAGGAGAACATGGGTAGTATCCATCTCTATGTCTTGCCTGTGAAATGATCATTTCACCTGTTGTGGATTGAAACCCAGCTGCTGGCTGTACACAGCAGGACACTGGTGGTAGCTGTAAGAGGAAGCGTGAGTCCAGCACTGATCAAATGATCACTGACGTGCTGATCAAATCCCATTTACAGCACTAGAGAAAACCATGATGAGCCCTATAATTATACAGTAAAACTGCCACACGTTAGGAAAGGCCATGGAAAATAGCTTTTCCATTAAAACTGGAAGAGGAATGGTGGGGGGCAGAGCAGTAGAATAACCCATGTCTGGGTCTCCTTGGCGCTAACTCTGCTTTCAGCCTGCTTCTGCAATGTTTCCTCCTCTTCTTTTCCATGCACAGTCTGAGCTCACTGGCAGCCCCATTTAGTCACTGCTGGAAAGGCAGGGAGCAGGTAAGGATGCAAACACAGGGGGCAGGGAGCACCTCTGGGATCTGGAAGCTTTTCCAGCCTTAAGAAATGTGAAGAGCCTGCAATTGCCCATATTCCCACAGCTGAAGCCATTTCCCAAACCTTCCCCAGCTGCCAGCACTGATCACTGATCCTGCCTAACAATCCCTTTTTTCCAGGAGAGGTTGGTGCTGGCTCCATTCTGTTACAGGAACATGGGTTGTAGTCTGTGACTCGTGTGTTCAAGTGGCTAAAATGATGTTGCCTCTTTTCTTCCTCCTGCTCCTCCTCCTCTTTGTGCCTCTGCCTTGCCCATTCTCCGCCACGCATGCTTCTGTGTTCAGATCCTGCCTCTCCTAAGAAATGCAGAGCTCGCTTTGGCCTCAACCAACAAACGGACTGGTGCGGCCCGTGCAGGTGTGTATCAGCATCTCCTCCTGCTGGGGTGCTCCTGGGCGAGTGGGTTCGGCTCCGTGTGTCCCCCTGCTGCTCCGGCCAGGCGGGATGGGGTTTGCTCTGGTCACCATCAGTTGTTGTCCAAGCTGCCAGGGTCAGGCTGCTCCATGGGGTTTGTACTCAGGCTCCCCAGGGTGATGTTGGTGTGATGCTGTATGTGCTTCTTGGTTGATGGGCTTCCCTGCTCTTAAAAGCTTAGTTCCAGGGTGGAGACCTCTGATGCAGGGTTTTTCATCCCCTATTAGAGTTTATCACATATATAGGATCCTAGGACCAGCAGTGAGTAGTTAATGGGTTTCTTTTTCCTGTTTATACTGGGGCTAACCATGTATTTCAAGATCCAGTTCTTTTTGATGCTGGACTTTTGCAGTACCCACCATGTGTGGGATGGGAAAGCCTCAAGCAAGGCAGTTTGCAAGTGCCCTGTGCCTCTGGCTTGTAGGGAATGGACATGGCCAGGGGACAGTAAAACTATAGCAAAAGCTGGAAGTAAAGAATTGCTTCATGTGCTTCTGCAGCTTGAAGTGACTGAAATCATTGAGTGCACCCAAATCTGACCATCTGCAGAGTCCCAGCAGTGCTTGGCTACTGGCCTTGCTGGCACGATGAGCTTAGGTCTGAGCTGCCACCGCATCCCATGCAGCAGCAAACCTCCCTGCTTGCCCTTTATACGCAGGGTAATGTCATCAAACAGCATTTCTTTAACTAATGAAGTCCTTTAACAAGTCACTGAGTGTCCACAGAGGGGTTTTTGGGACCCCATCCCACACGCAGCAATGCCCCATCCTGCAGCGCAGAGCACGGCTGCAGCTCTGCGGCAGTTCTCCAGCCTCTGCCTTCACTTCAGCTCTGAATCCAGCATCTCCTCTGCGCTGCTTCCCCATTAACACAGCTGCTGAAGTGCTCCGAGACCTCGGCTTGCTTCTGTGTTTTAACCTTTGCCTCTCAAACTCTGGTCAGTCACAGCTGCTCTGCAATTCCCCTGTACCTGTACTAACTGCTGCTGCCGGCTGAAGGGCTCCGGTCCTGTGTGCTCTGGTCACCTGCAGAGGTGCAGGATTTACTGAGGAGGTTTCCACTCCACCGGGCAGGGACACCTTCCACTAGAGCAGCTTGCCCCAAGCCCCTGTGTCCAACCTGGCCTTGAACACTGCCAGGGATGGGGCAGCCACAGCTTCTTGGGGCACCCTGTGCCAGTGCCTCAGTGCCCTCACAGGGAAGAGCTTCTGCCTAAGAGCTCATCTCAGTCTCCCCTCTGGCAGGTTAAAGCCATTCCCCTTGGCCTGTCCCTACAGGCCCTTGTCCAAAGCCCCTCTCCAGGTTTCCTGCAGCCCCTTTAGGCACTAGAGCTGCTCTAAGGTCTCCCCTTCAGGAGCCTTCTCTTCTCCAGGCTGACCCAGCCCAGCTCTCTCAGCCTGGCTCCAGAGCAGAGCTGCTCCAGCCCTTAGAGCATCCCAGCTAAACCCCTTTAGCTGTGTAACAGCCACATCAGCCTTAGCCCACTGACTGGTTCATTATCAGCAACCAGATCTGCCTTTTCCCCTTATTACTTTAAATCAGATCGTTTGGTATCATCGCTGAAACTCTCCATCCTGCAGCTTCTCCTGGGATGTCTGTGGGAAACAGCTTCTCCTCGGGCTCATCTGCTCTGGGGAATTACAGCCCATGCAGAGTAACCTCCGAGTTCAATACTCGGTTCAGCAGCACTGTCATGTTTCATATCACATTAATTGGGTCACCACGGCTAACGATGATACTGCCAGCAGAAACAGCACTTCCCTTGTTCACAGCCAGTGCAAAGTCATGTTTAATACTGGGCCAGTTAATACATATTCTAACACGGTCTGGGTTTTCATTAGGAAGATCAAAGAAAGGTGTGTGCCCGCATTAGCAACTTCTCCACTTGAGCTGTTTCCCTCAAATGAGACACTGAGGCAGGGAGCAGGGCGGGAGGAGGATGTGCCTTTAGCTGCAAAGTCATTAGTACCATCCCCAGCAGAGGAATTGTTCCCTCGCTGCTGTTACAGTGACATCTTGAGAGCTCTTTTGTTTAAAACTACCCTGAGATGCTGGAGGACCTGTAGCAGGTGAAGGACCTGTCACACCAAGAGAGGGAAACACCAGCTCAGCACAGAGTATGGGAAGGCAGAGTGAGGCCATGTGAGGGCCTGACTGCATGGGCAGGAGGGGTTAAGGTTTAATGGATTGGTTTGGGGTGGAAGGGACCTCAGAGCTCTTCCAGCTCCAACCCTTGCCACGGGCAGGGACACCTTCCACTGGAGCAGCTTGCTCCAAGCCCCTGTGTCCAACCTGGCCTTGAACCCTGCCAGGGATGGGGCAGCCACAGCTTCTCTGGGCACCCTGTGCCAGCGCCTCAGCACCCTCCTTATTTTGATTTTTATTACTGGTATTATTGGTTTAGGGTTTATTATTGCTTTTATTTTTCTTATTTGGGGGTTTATTAATTTGCTTTTCATTAGACTTGTTATTTTGAATTTTATTATATTAACTTTCTTTTTTATTCATTTGTTATTATTTTCATTTTTATTCATTTTATTCACCGTTTTATTTTTATTCCTTTATCCTTTATTATATGACTTTTATTACTGTTCCTTTTACTCCGTTTCCCCCCTCCATCCCCGCGCAGTGGCGCCGCTGGGCCGCCATTATGGCGCCGCCTGGTGGTCGCAGCGCAGCACAGCCCCGGCGCCGCACTGAAGGGCGATCCCCGGGCGGGGTGGGGGGGCTGCTGGACTGGGGGGTCCCCATCGCTGTCCTGTGTCTGGTGTATGACCCCGAACTCGGCCTTTATTCACAGATAACTCTCTCCACTGTCCCTAGGAGGAAAAAGAAGTGCATTCGGTACCTACAAGGAGAAGGACGCTGTGCCAGCCCAGTTTCTTCCGATGGAAGTGCTATAGACTCCCCTCCCTCTCCTCTGGACGCACTCCAATGCATCTCCTCTGCTTTCCCTTCAGACAAGCTCGCAGCCCCCGCTGACTCCGCACACAGAGATCACCCCGACCCCTTCCCCGGCTCCGCTCACCTCCAGCCCCCCTCCGGCTCCTCCAGACGGACGCCCACAGAGTCCCCTCCACGCTGCGTGGCCTCCATGGGGACATAGTCCTGCGCCCCCCTCGGGGTACCGGGTACCTCCTTTCAGTGCCCACTGCCAAGGACCAGAGGCCACATTCCCCATCGCACTGTAGAACATGCAGGGTTAGGACATGGGATGCCTTGAGGATGCTGGAAAACTCCTTTAGTTTTTATTTCTTTTGGGGGGTGGGAGAGGTGTTAAAGATAGAAAAGTGATCTCCAAAACACAAGGTAATGAGAACTTGCCAAGATTTAAAGTGCTGATGAGTAAACAAGCCTTTGTCCCTGCCCTGTGCTGCTTTTCTTTGTTTGGGGGTTTTTGGTTCTTTTACTGCATTATCTCCAGGTATGGTGGGAAGCAGAGCCCACCTCCCCAGCTTGCTGCAGTAGATGGTAGGTGCTATCACTCTAACACTGCCTTTGCTCCCTGCTTCCAAGTGTAGTCCTTCACTCACACATCCCTTGTAGCCGTTCCACCACGGAACTGGAAAAGCTGGAATAGGAGCAGTTTTAGAAGCTGAAACTCAGTGTAGTGATGCCGGCTTTGATCCGACCGGATAACAGAGAAAAGGAGGGTTTCAGTCGAGGAAGTGAACGTTTCCAAGGTGCTGTTACAGGTAACAGATCTCATGCAGACGTGTGCCATGAGCATGGCAGAGGGAAAGGGAGCACCGAGCACAGGAGCTGGACCAGCCCCTGGCAGGGCTGAGGACCCATCGCTCACTGCAGGGGCTGTGCAGGGGCGCCCCTGTTAACAGAGGTTGTCCTCTGTAGATAATGGTCACGGCTCCCTGGATGCTGGGCAAAGCCTAAAAGTCCTCCTGGAGCTCCCTCCCCAGCACAGTCCAGCAGCTCCTGCTCCAGGCACCCTCAGAGCCCTTCCTGTTGATGCTTTGGTGGATAACTTCCTAAAATCCCCTTCCTCTGCTTTTGGATCTGCACAAGATCCTCCCTCCACCCTCAGGACGATGCCAAAGGTTCAGTGTGTCCTCTCCAGCTTGAAAACCTTCACCACTTCCTGGTGTTCTATTCATGTTTGAGCTTGACCAACACAACCCCGCTGTGGCCGGGCTGAGATCAACCTGACCCCATCTCAAGCCCAGATGAATCCAATTACTTCTTGATTTCCTTTGGGTGTACAGGCTCCCCCCACCCAATCCAGCCCAAATCATCCCCTCCTTGAAAGAGATTCCAGACCAGTGAAGGGATAAATAACACCACACAGAGGGAGAAGGGGGGCTGGTTTTTGTCCTTACTGGGGTTTAAAGTCCTGAACACAAATTATGTAGTAATATTATTGTAGAACTGCAGAAATTTATGACCTTTATAATGTACAAAAATATTTTTATATTGTTTTTCTTAATGCAAAAAAAAAAGCCACAAACCCAAATTTTTTACATTGGAGTAAACAGAACTTTTTGAACCAGTTTATGCCTCAAAGATTGAAAAGGATTAGTCTGTAGAACAGCTTTGGGTTTGTTCCCTTTATTTAGGTAGTTTGGCTTTAGAGTAGCATAGAGTTGGGTTTAAGTCCAGTCTTAGTTTAGATGTGAACCTGTCGCTTTATCCTCTCCTGTGTAAATGTAACTTCAGAAGCACTGAATGAAAGCTCCTGCACAAACCTGAACAGGATGAAGTCGTTTTAGCGGTTGAAAGAATCGTTTTAAAGCTTGAAAGAGACATTTTAACCCTTAAGGAAGCAGCATTACCTGACCCCATGCCTGCTGTACATTGGGCGATGCAGTGATGGTGCTCCGAGGGGTGGTTAGGTCTGGAGCTTCATGCTCTGGTTTACATTACTTTGCCAGCTTAGACGAGCAGGCACTAGTGTTGAACAAGGAGCTACTGCTCAGGCTCTTCCCAGACCCCCCCCCCAAGTCTCTTTTTATCACTTGTATTTAAAACACACCCAAAACTTGCTTTACAGAACAACAGTGATGGCTCAGCTCATGCCTGTCACTGAGACCTGCAGTGTATGGGGCTGTCAGAGCATCAGCCCCTGCCAACGCCACAGAGGACAAAGCAGCCTCAGTGGCGTAGCTTAACCCAGCACTGGTGTAAAGCTGTTGTAAGTTACTACCCAGTTGGTATTATGGGGTTGTCCAGAGAAGCTGTGGCTGCCCCCTCCCTGGCAGTGTTCAAGGCCAGGTTGGACACAGGGGCTTGGAGCAAGCTGCTCTAGTGGAAGGTGTCCTTGCCAGTGGCAGGGGTTGGAACTGGAGGAGCTTTAAGGTCCCTTCCAACACAAACCAGGCTGGAATTCTATAAAACAAGTTAGCACCAAAGGCAGGAATAAGAGAGAAAGCAAATGGGCATAAATAAAACCAGTGGGAACTGAGGGGCAAGCCCCAGACCTATTAACCTGCATCCCTAGCCAAGGAGCAGCCCTCACCCCTGTCAGCTCACCAGGGCTTTCACATGCCCATTCCAAGGCTGCTTTGGTCAGTCTCCACAGGGGCTCAGGGCCCATCCCTACAGCAGCCTCCTCTGAGCCCCTTTATGCCATCCAATTCCCACCCAGTCCTCACAGTGAATCCCACTGCCCCTGGCAGCATCTCCACACACAACCTGAAGCAGCTACACCTGCTTTTCCAAGCCATGCTTGCTCCACGCGGGCACAGTGAGAGCTGCCCTCTGCTCCCAAGTGCTGCAGGCTAAGCTCAGACTGCCCCTCGGTGCCCTGCAGCACATTCAGTTTAGGCTGGTGTAACTGAGAACAAGAGTTCAGAGCTTCCAAAACACACAAGATAAAGAGACCATGAAGCTGCCCATTGCCAAGACAAAACAGTGACTAAGAGCTGTCTCCAACACCAAAACAAAGTTACCTTGACTAATATCAGAAAGTGTCTTTAGAAACACCCCATGAAGTGTTCCTGGTTTGTGTTAATGCTCTTTTTTTTAAAACAGAAGGAAAACTTTGCCCTTTTTTAGTTCTTTTCACAGCAATTTCAACTCTTGCTTAAATCCATCATTCGACTTCCTGCAATCAGTTTAAATGTACAAGTCCTGGAAGTACCACTTCATTAAAGCAGAGTGCAAGCACTGTAGCAGGGATCAATGCGTTGCAGCTGTACTTTCATTTGTCCAGTGACATCCACCACTTGTAAGTTTTTTACTTCATTGAATTTGTATGTTTTTGGCTTTTATGTTCAAAATATGTTTATAGCTTTATAAATAAAGTAACTGCCAGAGTGGCTCTTTGAGATGGGCCACTGGGAGTTCTGATCTGAACCTCTCAAATAATGATTTCTTGGAAGTTAAGAGGATTCTGCTGCTTCTCCCCCCCCCCTTGATCATTTGTATGAATAGATTCTAGGATAATTGCTAACAGGCTTCAATGGGTAGGACTAAAGTAGTAAACCAAAAGTAAGAAGAAATATATGGGTTCATGTAATGGGACCTTGGGTCACAGATACAGCTTCCTGAGCAGTCCCTGCTCTCCATGGTCTGATCTCCCCTTCTCACTGCTATCAAATACCCACTGAAATCAGGTGGATTCTCCAGTCAACTCTAGATGGGAAGAGCCAAGCATTTCCCAATCCCTGGCAGTGTTCAAGGCCAGGCTGGACAGGGCTTGGAGCAAGCTGCTCTAGTGGAAGGCATCCCTGTGCCTGGCAGTGGGTTGGGACTGAGTGAGCTTTAAGGTCCCTTCAACCCAGACTAGTCTGGGACTCTATGTCCCAGCACTGGAGTGCTTTATGCCCCCTGACAACACAGTATCTAATCTGCCTGATAGGTACAGAAGCACAAAGGCTGAAGGTACAGAAGCACAAAGGCTGAATAAGCAGATGCATCCAAAGCACAGATGTGAATGCTGCTTTGGAGCAAGTTAACAAATCCTTTCATTAATGGCTACAAAGATCACCTACAAGCTGGTAAAGCATCACAATACCTCCATCTGCATTGCTTACTGTTTAATTTCCACCTTCATGTGAGAAGTCACCCACTGTGTCTGACTGGTGGCCTACATCGGTCACTAAACCAAACCTTTACATCTGTTTCACTTCAGTTAACCACCGCCTCAGTGCTCCTGTTTGTACATACACCCAGTAGCAAGCAGCAGGCTGTCTAGTTCCAAATAACTAGCACCATTTGCAAACAAAAGTTTAAAAGCCCTTTATTAATCCAGAAGTGGAACACTGATATTTAAAGTGAGATAAGTACGTTTATTACGGATCATTCTACTCTAAGGTTTATACAGAGAATGGAATGCAATACAAGCTAAGAGCACACCTCAAAGATCTACCACACAACCATCCCTACTCCCTATAAGGGAACTGTAAAAAAAACAAAAGAAATACAAATCAGGAAACCAGTTACTGTTTAACTAGTTGCAAGTGGCTTTGTCCAAGTTAAGCTGATATTGCATTAGCTCTGTATGCAATAATTAAAGTCTCTACAAGCCAAAGGTATCGCAGTCAGAGGCATAAGATTTCATATGGACACATGAAACCATGTTTTAAAGAGCTACATCACAAGGGCTGTTTAAAATTGCCTAAAACCCAGTCACTACTGACATGCACAGGTCAATAATAGTAACTTTGGTAATGTCAGTCATTTTTGGTCAAATCAGGATTCCACTTTTAACAGGAACATATAAAAACACACCAATCCTGTGCATAAAGCAACACACTTCTCATCTGCTACCAGCTAGAGGCAGGTCTTCAAGACATGGTTGAAGGATTCAGATTTCACTGTCGGGAGCTTGCTTCGTTCGAGATCACATCTTTCACTAGTCTCTAAGGCCAGACTAACAGGACAAGAAGGTGGTCAAATAGTTTCTCTTTTTCATATGCAGGACAAGAACATCTCAGAAGTCCCATCACTTTAAGCTTAAACACTAATTCTGCCCACAATGGTTCTGCAAGGAATCCAGTAGCTTGTACTTCACCTGCTTCCCCAAAACACATGCTAATTAGCCTTTCTTGCTGAAGCTGTCAATACCCTGTAAATGCAAGTGTCTTGCTCTTGAGGAAGAAGCCACAGGTGGGTTTATTTACAATGGAGTCAATCCTTAGCATTGGAACTGGACTTGAACAGTTTCAAAGTGTAATGAAAACGATAACCTGAAGTGCTACTTCCCATATAGAATCCACACTTAGTTCAGTTTTATTCATTGCAGAGTAAAGTAAAAAGACATCCAATTACACTAGTAAAAACTGAGAAGATTTAAATTTGTACTCAAAAAAAAACCACTACACATGCAGAGGGAACAATATCCTGCTAACACAACTTCATTTGCTGCTGCATTTGTCTACTATTAACAATTATGAACAGAGCAGTGCAACTAGTATTTGGAACAATCCTTACAGTGTTCGAGTGTCAGGCACAACGCTTCACTTCTCTTCACACCACTGGTTCTCTTTGCGTACCTGAAAGAGCAGTTTAACTGTTAGTATCTGCAGTGAACTTCAAGGGGGTTGTACATCCCTGTGAGGATTCAGGGTTCCTCACTGCAGGAAGGCATAAACTCAGAAGCAGCTGTAACTTTTCATGCAGGTTTGTACTTCGAGATTCAGTCTTCCAAAGTGACCTCTGTGTCCACAGAAACCAAGAAATGTATTCCTCATGCCTTGATCTAAGCTGAATTGGTTTTTCCACCAAGCAAAGCTTAAGACTGAACTGCTTGTTTCACAACAGCTCTGAAGACAAGCCTGAGATCAGAATTCACTTTGTATTTAAGAGTCATCTCATTCCGCTCTCTCCCAGCTCTGCCATTTTGCAGTCAGTTTGGTGTTCAAGACCAATGGCTTCATTACTTAAGCATCTAAACATCTTGCCTTCCTAGCCACATAATACAGCTTCAACATTCTTACTAACAGCAAACCAAGCCTGCCATGAACAACCTTGATGCGTCCTCACCACACACATCTGAGCTAGGACATCAACTCACTTTGACTGTTTCAGCTGATGGCCTGCAAGCCCTGTAGACACCAAAAGGTTGACCACTAGTAGCAACCCAGTTATGAGGGGCTGATGCATTTACATTTGTTGTTACCAGGTCAGGTGCATCACACATTGCATTTTAAAGCCCCACACAATAACTCAGCATAGAAAACCAGCTAAATTATAGCTAAACCCAAGCCAAATACCTGTGCTTCCTCCTCCTCAGTGAAGTCATTCTTGATGTTGAATGTCTTGCGAATTTCTTCTGGAGTTTTCCCCTTGATCATGTTTGCAACTGTCTTGCACGTGACATCAAGCAAGCCTTTGATGTCCAGGTAATTTGCAGCCTGTAGAAGAGTTTTCACATTTAAAGCCTCCTTATCAATACTGTGCCCTCTGCAGATGTGCTCCCCAAGTTACGCTGACACTGGAATTGTGCAATACTCAACTGCAAACACATCACCTCTACTCTGAGAAGCTTTACCTTGAAGTAACAGGACCTAAAACTTGCTTGCCAAACAGAAAGGGAAGTCATTTGCACTATGAAAGACACCCCCATACTCCTCCTTATACAGAGCTCACCAAAGCCTGCAAACACCCCAGGTCTTTAGTGCTGAAGTGCTATGAACTAGCCAAGATAAGTAGCGCTGCCTCATGGTACCACACAAGGTGAAAGCCAGATTTTAATCTGCGTGCACACCTCCAGAACTCCATTTCTAGTAGTAAGCCCTCAACTAAGACTCAGGAGCCCCAAGAATAAAGACAGCTCCAGGGCCCCAGATTCAGAAAGGTCAAAGAAGTCATTCCAGAGCACAAGGACTTTAGTTGTGAGTGGAGCACTCACAGACACAGCCTCACACACCCTGAGCACTTACCAGGATAAGTTCAAACAGCGTTCCTTGGTCTACTTTCAGAAACTCTTGATCCCACACAGGGATGTCATCTGTTCGCTTCTCTTTGTTCTCATCATCCTCAGGAGGAGGTGGATCATCCTTGTGGTGGGTGCACCACTGAATCACCTAATCATGGGTTTGATAGGAAAGCTTCAGCACAATCATTCTCCCATTAGGCCCCAGTTAGAACTTAACTTTGTTTTAGAAGAAATACACCTTTTCCTCTAGATTAATAGTAGAATCCTGTGTAAACACACCCCAATACCCAGCATTTGCATTTCAGAACAACTGATCCCCAGCCCTGGAGTGCAACAGCCTTTTGAAATACTAGTAGTAAATCACTTACCATCTTAAAAGCCAGCTGCTGGTGTTACAAAGCTACTCGACCCTGCGCTAACACACAGAGGACTGTGCAAAGGAAACCTAAACCTCAGTCTTTAATCTGTTTGTAGAAGCACAGTTTTTATTAAGCACAATACTACAGAGGGGAAGAGTGGAGCTGGTAGCAGCCACCAGCAGGGCAGGTTCACATGGCAAAAGTTTGCTTTTTTGTTTTAGTAACTTGGGAACATGCAGCCTCAGTCTCATCACCCAGACAGTGAAAAGGAGCACGGATCTAGTGCAAGTAAAATCCTGTTCCGTTCTGCCCACCCCAGAGACTTGACAAGTTTGAAGTTACTTATGTGTGTGTTCACTAGGAAATAACTCCTAACCCAGTATTTACCCCAAAACTGTCCAGTGCTTATTTTAACACAACACTTTCTACTTCAGAGCAAAAAGCATCTTCAGAGACAACAACGTACTTCTCTTTTCTTACCTGACCCAACAATAATCATGGTCTGTTACTGAATTTCATGCCATCAAGTGCATGATGTCTCAAGCACTGTGACTGCCGCACAGTTTCTCCTAACATCTGGATCCTGCAGAACAACCTCAGTTCACAGAATCCAATTAATATCCGTGCTTTAATCCCATGCAATACTGGTGTGCATAGATGGCCAGCACCACTTCCACACCGCTGGAACCCTATCTGGCCTCCAGCTGCTGTTCCAGGTGGTCACCCCATAGGTCTCTTACCTCAGCCCAGTCCTCAGCTCCCCCAGATGCCCGTGTTCATGCACCTCTTATCAATTCAGCTTGTAGCACATGGAAAGTAGCTTTAATACAACAGCTCAAAATACCCAGCTCTAACATGAATTCCACATTTCATCTCTGCCATAAGCACAACCACTTTCAACATCTTACCTTTTTCAAGATAGCTGCATTAACGTTTGGAAGAGGGACTGGGTCATCATCACCTTCATCATCCATCCCCAAATCTGAAAACAGAGATGACTAAGCAACTGGCAGGCAAAACCATTCACCCTTCTCTGAACTGGGCCACTTCACCAGTTCTCCAGTGAGGCTGAATGGATTGGCAGCAATGGAGCTCTAACTGGTGAGCTCAGAAGGTTTTTAGATGAGGCTCTGTGGAGCCATTGTATGTACTAGGTTACACCCAGTTGAGGCTAAGTAGCCAACTAGGCTGCCTCATCAAATGAGAGCATCAACGAGCCATCAGTTAAGCAATCGTTACTTGTTAAAACCCAGCTTACTAGGTCAGTGTTGTGGGAACAGGATACATGGAATAATCAAATACTTGTGTACATCTACCACTTTCAACAGCTCGAGCCACAAGTTAAACCAGAGCGTTCCAGCTGAGATCTCCCATTCCCTTCATTATTAAATAAGGATTCAGATCTACTGTGGTAAGAGACAGTGTTTTGTCCTCTACAAGAGTAGCCAGTTACCCAGCCTCTGAAGCACCTGCACTGCTTCTTACCAGCTGAAGAAGTTCACGTGCTGGGACAGCAGCACAACCACTCAACCAAAAAAGCCTTCCCAAAGCATGCTCCTGATACTCCTTGGTTTAAAAGCTTGTCAGCCTGCTGTAGACACAGCTGGATGAAGTTTGTCACTTTGTCCCCTTGATATAATTAAGGAATCAAAGTTAAAAATGAGATTAAAACATAATTAAACTTTGGCCTTGATACACAGCACAAACACCGCATTAACCAGCCTTGATTAGAGAATATGCCTTTCTGATTACACAGATGCTAACAGCTGGATGACACCCTAGCTGTCAAAGATTAGCATCTTGCAATTAGTAGGATATTAATTGCTATTACTTTGTGTAATTGAGTAACAGCAGATCTTCATTCATTATATGCAGAAGAGACAATTCTACATCACCAAGGAGCTTAATTTTTAAGCACAGACAACTGTCACACCATCCTCACTGATCAAATCTGTGCAGTTACAATAGCATCTACTTCTGTATTCAGGCAAGTCAACTCCTGTTATTAATGAGATATTAATTAGTCCTACTTCTTGTCTGGAATAACTTCATAGATTCAGAAGCTAAAATACTGCATATGTCACCAGTTAACACAGACTTCAGGCACACTCAGAATGGGGTGGCAGGTACTAGTGTAAGAAGTGACCAGTCCAAAATTGCTGCTATGGGGAAATAATTCAAGCAGCAGCTCACATTTAGTGAACTCTGCTCAACTTGTCCCCATCACCCCCAAACCAGCAGTTTTATCTGTTATCCAAAAATTCCTACCTGACTGGCCATCCCAGGATGCTCAACACAACCTCACCCTTTAGCTCTTCCCCTTCAAGCTGCAGCACCCAACAAAACATCTATTAACTGATGCTTAACCAACTGTACTGCAGATGCATTTCACCTGTACAAGGACACTGGTTCTCATTCAGAGCAGCAAGAAGCTAGTTTACGGTGCCTAACACCACCTACCATGCGTAACCTCCCTTTAGTCAGCACCAAGTGTCACTAAACACCAGCATTGACACAGCTTCTGCATGAGAAAGCAGAGAATTGTGCTCCCTAATGTATTCCACAGAGAGAAACGCTTCCTGCTCATGTTGCTGGTCAAGTTCTACAGCATCTTATTAACAGAATCAAAGGGTTCAAGACTTGCGAGTATTTCAGCCTCACTCTTATTGTTCTTATGTGCAAGTGTCACAGCCAGCCAAATATTTATACCCAAGAACACAATTTTAACTACATCAACAGAAAGGGTTTCTTTCCTCCCAAGTTAATTCATGTATACACCCAAAAACTGGGAAAGCCACCAGGAGACAATGAGGATTTGCATGGAGGGATCAGACACAGCTTGCTCTGTATCCCAGCCATCTGGCAGACCTCCCCTCCCCCCCACAAGCTCCTTTGTTTCAAATGTATGTCAGCAGGAGATCAGAACTGAGCATTTAGCCCAAATAATTTAATTGCAGCCGTAAGCTCACAATATAGGTTTCATTTCAGCTCTGCAGTGCATTGCTTTATGATCCCCCACCCCATTTTAAGAGATATTTACATTGCAAGACTGGTTTGTGGGATTAAATAATCTTGGGGTTTAATATTATTAGATGCTCTGTTTGCTGAACTCTTACAATAGCGAAGCAGGCTGTAAGCAAGGCAGTGGGGTGCTCACTTTTACAAGCCTCCTTCTAAGCGCTTCTTAACAAGAGGACTGAAAGTTTAAGCTTTATGTGAGAGCACACCCACCCAAAAACAGTTTCAGCTATGACAGCAATTGTCTGGGCTGTTCTGACGTCAGGCAGAAGCTGCCTCACAGACCTGGGAATCCTTTTTCAGGGCAGCACCAGTTGGTCTCCTTTGGTCACAGCTCCTGTCCAAGAGGCCTCCCTGCATGCACTGCTACCTCTGCACAAGGCAGTGCTCCTCAAGGGCTCATGCTCTTACCTTCCAGCATAGTCTTTATAGTTACAGACTGCTTTGCAATTTCAACATCAACTTCAAAGATTTCTCCATCTGAACTCTGCAGTTTAATCGAAGGCATCTACAAGAGAAGGACAGTTACTTCCACACTATATCCAGCAGATGTTACAAGTTTAGCCAACCCAAAGATGGGCATTACCTTTACTATTTATATTGCTTCTTACCCACAGCAGATAGGCCAATGCCACTTAAATCCCTCAAGTTACTCACTGCTTGAATCAACAGGCCTAAATTCGCTAATCCTCATGCTTAAGAAACAAGGACTGTTGGAAGCTGAACATGAACTTCAGAATACACAGATTAAGTTATTCCTGCTTATTTCTATAGTGGAACACCAGAGCAATCTTTCTCCTGACTTGACTTTCAACAACGCTTCCAAAACACGACCTGCCCTCAAAGCCAGACAACTGCTCCTCACTTTGAGTACTCAAATGAAGCCAGACCTCAAAAGCAGGTTTCAAACAATAGCCTCTGGAGCAGAATGACAAAGCTGAGGTTGGAAAGAGCCCCCTCAGAGCCCAGGCCAGCCTCCCTCCTCCCAACACAAAGAACAGGTTACTCAGGATCAAAGGCTTCCCTGCAGAAAAGCATGTGGCTTTCTGAAGAGATTAAAAAGCAATACATCACCACAAGGAAGGCTTTCAGCACTCGGTACTGCTCATACAGAGTAGGAAGTTAGCTCAGCACTTTGGTAGCACTAGCAAAGCCTAAGATGACTGTGCATTTTAAAGTTTCTCAAACAAACTGTATTAAGACCTGCAATAAATAGAAGCAGCTTTCAGAAGCACTAACAAAAAACAAGCAAGCTCTACAAGAATGCATCTTCCCAGATATTTAACTCCAATCCAAAACCAACACACTTGATACAGCAGGTAGGAGGCTACAACTTCTGCCTGAAGCTACACATGAAGTTTGTCTGTATCACTGCACTTGAACCAAGGAACTTGCCTGGCCAGGCACACTTTATAAACTGGTTCTCAACAAATGAGCAGGATGTGTTGCAAGTTCCTCACCAAAGCATCTGTTAGCAGCAAACCATTGCAACAGGTTCACGTTCCTTGAGTTACCTGCTTGAAGAGCTCTAAGGCAAGTAACTTGTCCTGCAAGGCGTCAGGGACAAGGCATTACACGTTCATTTCAAACCTAAGAGCTATGCACACAAGTTCCCCACAGCAGCACCTGAGCCACCCAAATTGAATTAGCTGGACCCCTTTCAGCAAATCGACATTATCCCTTTTTGAATGCCTCCTGCAGGTCATCAATACAGCCAAGCCTGACAGCACTGCAACAAACCCAGGCCGTGGAGCCTGGCCAAAGCGCGTTATTAAGCAGCTCACACCAGCTCGAAGCCCTCACTGCTTTCATTCCCATTTGGCAGAGCAAGCAGCTAGTTAATGTTTACACAGCAATGTAACCCTATATGATAGCACTACCTCTAATTGAGATGGGTGCTCTGGAGGAACACACGGACGTTCCAAAGATACAAATATAGCCCCAAACGTACGATTTGGATTAAAACACACAGTGCTGAGCCGGGAGCTGGAATGATGGTGATCCAGGCACACATTCCAGACGCAACGCACTCGTTCTTGCGGCGACCGCCTGCAAGCACTCAAGAACGAGCCCAGCCTCATATGCCAGCCTTCGGGTGCTCGTGTCTAGGGTTACATAATGCTGCACAATGGAGCCAGCACGACAGTGATGCTGCTGCCTCAGTGAATCCAACCCCTGCAAGAACATTTGCGTCGAGACCCTTCTATCACCCCAAACCACTTCTATCCAGACCTTTAGGTTACTGTTAAGGGTCTGGATCAGGTAGCACGAAGTTAATCTAACGCCTTATCACATAACAGACGAGGATTTCATCCAAATGTCATTGTTTTTATACCACAGAGCTCTGCCTCCTAGAAGGAAGGAATACAACAAGTAATTTTCAAGCAGACCGCACTACAGCTGTGGAAACAGGCAGGCCTCAGCACCACAACCGGGTGACTAAGCAGCGCAGGCCTGAAGCTCCATCCCACAGAGCCATACAGGTCGGGAGGCCGGCAAAAGGCAAACCTGAATTACAGCGGTCATCTGCATACAGAAACCTGAATCGCAAGCGCTCAGCCCTCTCAAACAGGCAAGGCCGTGCCTCCCACAGCTCCTCACCGACACCCGCTCCCTTCCCTTCCCTTCCCCTCCGTGCCGCTGCCCCTAACCCCTCACACCGCGACCTCCGCGGCCTGACCGGGGGCAGGGCCTCGCCGTTATTTACCAGACCCCGCAGCCGCGCCCCCCATCCCCACCCCCGCACCTCCCCTATGGGGCCCGCAGCCGCTCCGGCCCCGCGTTACCCAGCCAGGGCCTCAGCCCGACCCCCCCCCAACAACCACCACCGGCAGCTCCTCCCGCGCCCGCTTCCCCGCGGCCCGGCCCCCGCCGCCCCAAGCCCAGGGCCTCACCGTGAGGCGGCGGCGTTCAGCTCCGCGCGGACGGGACCTGGCGGCGCTCGGGGCCCAACTGCGGCGGCGGCTTTATATGGCGGGAGCGGAGCGGGGGGAGGGAGAAGGACCCGCCTCTCGCTGCCTCGCAACGGCCGGGCTGCCCGCGGCGAACGCCTGACTGAAACCCCGCGGCCCTGGCTCCCAGCGCCCCTCAAAGTGCAGCTGGCCGGGACAAACCGGAGCCGCGCCGCCCTCAGCCGGGGAGCAGCGGCGGAGCGGAGCCGGAGCGAAGGGCTGGGACGCGGTAACAGCCGCCGAGGCTTGCAGGCAGCGGCGAGGCCGCCCCGGGAGCCAAACAACGGGCGGGGGCCACGCGCGCGGACCAACGGCTGCGGCCCCCCCCCCCGCGGACCCCTGAGGGACGGAGAGGGCGCGGGCCGGGGGTGCGGCGGAGCGGGCCGGGAGCGGGCCGCAGGGGGGAGCCCAGGCCCCGGGAAGGGCGCTGGGGGCCGCCCGGTGCCGCTGCCCGCTATGGGGATCGCGGCGTCCCCCTGGAAACCACCCGTGATGGCGACGGTGTGTCCGTGGGCCGGCCCGAGCCCCCTTAGGAAGCAGCAGGGGCTGAGGCAGGAGCTGCACTGGAACAGTGGCTCCTTCCACATGGCTGCAACAACAACGGCCCGCTCCCGGCGAGTGGGAACGCAGCAGCCACAGCTCGGGACAGTGCGTAGTGACAGGAGCGGAGTTAGGTCTGAGGAGCCACCACCGAACACCCGGCCCGGATCCCAGCGGGAGCTTTAGGCTGGAGCCCGTTGATGACTCTGCAGGCACCAGCTGTGTGAGGAGCCGCCAGCTAGCAGCCAAGGCAGGGCTGCGGGGCACAGCCAGCGCACCCGAGCCGTGTAGCCCAGCGCAGGTAACATCTGACAGGTCAAGAGTGTGTGAGGGATAGGGACAGGCACTGGGTTAGCTATAAGGAAGCTCTTCCCTGTGAGGGTGCTGAGGCGCTGGCACAGGGTGCCCAGAGAAGCTGTGGCTGCCCCATCCCTGGCAGTGCTCAAGGCCAGGTTGGACACAGGGGCTTGGAGCAAGCTGCTCTGGTGGAAGGGGTCCCTGCCCATGGCAGGGGGTGGAACTGGATGAGCTTTAAGGTCCCTTCCAACCCAAGCCATTCCATGGGTCTATGATCTGAAGGCATTTGCTCAGTGAGGCCACCAAAGTGACCGCGAGATGCCTGGGGCGCTGCTTGTGCTGCCCAAAACCCCACTTGCTCCATGTTACAGTTGAGCCCTCTTTTCCATCAGCTGTCCATAGCACCGTGGTTTGTCAGTAATTAAGGTACTTAAACAGGGGCAGCTCGTGATTGTGACAATTGACTTCAAATCCTGATTAAAAATGGGTTCAGAACTGAAGCGTGTTTTCACAGCGCTTTAGTGCAGGTGTAGCTGCACTGCCTGTAAGCAGACTGGTACCGGCAGCAGCGTTGCACTGCAGAGCCCCAGCGCAGTGTAAGTCACAGCTTTCCCTTCCCTTGGGGTCCCAGGCAGTGCACCACACACCTCAGTGAGCAGATGACAGTCATACCTGGAAGCAGAAATTAACCTGCCAGCATCAAGAATTTCCCTGAAATTTGGAAGTTCTCAGGTCAGGAGCTCGTTTTGCTCATTCCAGAGTCCACAGCCCAGGACAGCAGCCCCCTCACAGAAGTATTCCTTCTTTCCTTAGTCTTCTCCTGAGTGACATAACCAATGAGACCACAAATATCCCAAGTATTCCAATTAAATAGGGGTGACTTTCTGGAGAGGTGCAAGACTCAAATACAGAGTCTCAGCCAGGAAGAACCTCTTAAGAGCTCAGGGCACAATAAGGCTCTTTCAGGTCAGGCCATAGCACTTCAACAGGTCTCTGGATAAATTCCACTGACTCCCTGACCTGGGAATCTTGTTGGACAGGCTTTGGGATGCCAAGCAGCTCATTAGGTAGCACAGGCTTGAGGGTGACTGAGCAACCTGGTCTGACTTGGAAGGTGGATTTCAGTTCAGTGTGGTCCCTTCAGCCTGATTTACTGTGCGCTTTGGGAGCACTCACTTCAGCTGAGTGAGCATCTGAGGATGTCTGGTGATGCTCATACAGCAGACTGATGCTAACAGAGGTTCCTCAAAGATCCTGATACGCTAACCAGATAAGCTGCTTAGGACCTGATTATCATGGTTTTAATTTGTATTACACATATAAGTGCATGAAGGCTCCAAACTATGCCTAGTGCAACCCTTTGATTGTACCATCATCACATTGACTTCATTCTTTCTCAGTCGCTCCGTCTCATACTCCAGTGCTGAGACCCACACTCACTGCACTAAAAAGAGGAACGACACTATCTTGATTTCCCTTAAATGTTCTTTTTTATTGTGATTTATATTGGAACATCTTGGTCCGGAGGATCAGACAGTGACAGAAGGTGGTCTGTGGAAACCATCTGCAAATCCTAAATCCCCTTTCCCTGTGGTTTCTGATGTGGCTTATGACCTGTGAGCGCAAGCTCTCTGTCTGCAAATCAGGCTCAGCAAAGGGGGTGGCGGATTTTATTGGACCACAAATGTAATCAAATCTAGGAGCAGGCAGAAAGCAAAGTTCCAGGCTTAGTTATGGGATTCCGAGCGATGCTACTGATGGGTTTTATACAAGGAGAAACATCAGTCCACAATGGACCTGGAATTTAGGTGTTGAACGAAAAGCCTGGAAAAGTTAAAGCCAAACCACCCCGCACCCCAAACCCGTGGCAGCCGGGTGTCAGAGATACGCTGTAATCACAGGATAGCCACCTCCCACTGTGCCCTACATATCATACACTGAATCTCCCCAGCTGGCCCAGATGCTTTCTGTTATCTGCTGGGGAAAGCAGCTGCTGCGGCGCTGATAGCCAAGGTCCTGTGAATAAGTCAGTATTAGCAACACAACAGAGCCGTCCTTCACTAGAGCTGAAAGGCAACAGGGTTTTGCAAAACATGGGTGGCCCAATTTCCATTGTTACACACAGTACAAATAATCCTAAACCTAAGCATTGCCCCCCTGAGCCATAAACAGAATCACACCGTGTATCAGCCACTGATAACTTGTAATGAAAGACCTTTCACCACCAAAAACCCAGAGGAGGAAGGGGGAAGCTTAACACTAAAGCAAATAACTGGAAAGATTGGAGCAGCCAAGATCAGAGCAAGCTTGATTTAATGCTTATGAGCTCCAGAAGAGCTCTGACCTACATACTGCAGCATCCCCAGGCACTACAGTGCCACAGCTGCAGGGGGAAGGGGATGTTAGCACATGGAACACGCAGGAGTGGCCTCCAGGGCACAGCACTGCATCTGCTCCCCAGCCTTGAGTTCTCTTGCTGGCTCTTGAGCAAAAATCACTGTGCCCCCACCCCTCAGAACACCTCTCAGTCTCCCCTTTCACACAGGAACTGGTGATTTAGAGACCATGGAGAGAACACTGAGTATTTTTCACCACCACAAGCACAACACGGGACTGTCAAAGCCTCCTAATGAGAACCATCAGGTTTGAAAGGGCTCAGCTCTGCTCCACTGACATATTGGGAAGCTTCTGAGAGCAGAGCCTGGATTCCCTGAGCCACAGGGGTAGGGACTGGTGATGGCTGGACCAGAGGGTCCTGCAGTGAGGTGCGACCGTTGGATCTGAGCAAAAACCTCAGCTATACACAGGAGAGGATGAGGGCTGCAAAATTCCTCCTGTTTATTTCAGGAATATAAAAGATGAGGGATATTCTTTAAATCAAGCAGCCACGGCAAGTTAAAACCCAAACTGAGCTGCCTGGGTGAGTGTAAACCCGGAAAACATCACAGTTATTCATGTGAGAGAGGGTACAAAGACACTGCTGAGCTCACCAGCCTGGGCTGCTGCTGCTGCTCAAAGCAACCTTGCAATGGTGCAGTAGCAGCAGAGGAAAATGCTTGTTCTGTTGCTCTGGGAAAAGCCAATTCCGCATTTCCACTTCCTCAAACCTTGCCTTGAGCAGCATCCTCAAGCAGGCATTGCTTCTCATCCATGTTGTATCCTGGCCACATGAGACAGAGCCCATCACTTGGGTGAGAGTCCAGCTGACACCAACAGACTGACAGCATTCAGCCACCAAATCCTGTCCAGTAGGCACCAGCTGGGTTTCTTTCCTTCGTCAACTTCTTTCTTCCTCTACCACCACTCATTCCCCTTACATAACTACAGGGATTCAAGATAGTTTAGAAGATAAAATACAGGGGGAGAAAGAAAAAGATTAAAAATAGAAACACACCTACTTCAAGTGTATTTGCAGCATCTATTTCCTGACCTCACTCCACCTCCACGCTCTTAAACAGGCTCGTTTCCGTTCCAGGTGTGCACTGGGATCCTTCGAACCCGGCTGGTGGGGAGGAATCCTACACAATCCAGCGGTCGATGGGAAGATGCCGCCTGCTGAGGCCGCCCGGTTGGACGGTGGGTACCCGAACCTTGCGGGCAGCGGAGCAGCTCCGCCGGCCACAAGCCGGGATGCAGCCACGCGGTGGCGCCGGGGCTCCCTCCGCGGGACGGGAGACACCGGGGCAGGGAGAGGGGAGCGCTCGAATGAGCTCCCCGAACTGACTGAGGAGGGTTGGATTTGTTTTAAACGGGCTTAAGAACGACTTTAAGCAGCAGAGAATAACACGGTGCATAGCCTCACACTTGGCTGAGTGAACTAGGTCAGCCTGAAAGGGTTGCACGACCCCGGGTCGTTGACCTTGGAGCTGTTCGAAGTCCAAAACCCAGATTCTGTGCTGTTTCTGACGCTGCAGATGATAAAGAGGAGTTGCTTTAAGGTTTCAAAGTCTGTGGGAATAAATACAACGTGTTTCAGAAGTCGGGCGAGTTCAAAGCATTCCTAAAAGAGATTGCAGGGGAAAAGGAACAGTTTTGAGATGGCTGAACTAAAGCAAGATACACTGATGGCCAGACACAACAGAGCACCCATCAGCAGCCTTTCTTTGAGAGGGGGAAGGAAGAACAGGCTCCAGGGAGCTGCAGCAGAGGTCCCTGCAGCAGCAGCAGCGAGCCATGTTCCTCTTCCCTGAGGATAAACGTGGTAAGGAAAAAGGAGGGAAGCTGCCTGCAAAGTGGGTCAAGCATGGAACGAGCACTGCAGGATCCTCTTAGACAAACACTGCCAGGGCCCCACTTTTCTTCATCAAATAAGGAGGCAGAAGAGAAGTGGCCACTGACCACTCCTGCATCATCTGCTGTGCTAAAGAGGGGTTTTCACAGCAGGTTTTATGCTGAGGTAGGGTGGCTGGGGTTGGGTTTTCCACCTCCTGATAAACAAAGGCATTTGGGAGGCAGGCTGAAGCCTTCCAGCCCAATTGAATATGCAGTTACCAGTTTGAGGAGTGCACTTTTGATCATGGTCCCACTCAAAGCAGCACCAGCATCAGCCCAGATGTGGCTTTTCCTTGCCTGGTCCAGGAAACTTCCAAGACTGGAGATTCTGCAGCCTTCCCACCACCCTGCTGTTCTGAAAGCTGGTATGTCCAACCTGGCTCTATACACAAGTTCATTATGTACATATAATATCTAGGTTCTATTAGTTATTTACACACCAGCAGCCATCAGTTTAATCTTCATCCAAAGCAGTTCTGTTCACCATAGAGTAATTAAGAGATTGGGAGCTGTAGTTCAACCCATCTTAAAGAACAAAGCTTTTAAGCCACAGCACAGGTTTTAAAAGGCTAAAACATGCAGCACTGCTTAATTTAAAGCCAGAAGTGTTGTTTCAGCCCTTTTTTCCCTGTATGAATGCCAAAGAACTCTGATCCCTTGCTCAAGAGAGCAGCTTGCCTTTATTCTCATCCAAAAGCAGCAGAGCCAAATGAATTAGAGCACTGAAATAACTTCTTAGCAAACCACAGAAGCTGACTCATGAGGTGCTTGCTCTGCAGGGCTGTTCCAGTGTATTCCTGGGGACTGCAAGATTTCCACACAGTCCAGTGGCATTTTTACTTAACACTTTACCCATTTCCAACCTCCTCCTGGAGCTTGCAGAGAACTAATACTCAGTGTAGCATGCAGAAGGCACTCTACATATTCTGCAGGACTTCAGAACCCACTGCTCCAAAACCTAAGCTCATATAAACCATGGAATGCTAAAAAGCCATTTCTCTTGGGTAAAACTTCACTTTCACCAACCCAAACCCCCCTAAAACATATCTTGAGAGGAAGTGGTGACAATGGAACTTTCACCTTCACCTGCCATGGACTGAACGTGGAGCAGTATTTAACTTGAGATTAAAAACCTGTGTTGTTCACACTTGCCTCTTCTCACAGACCACTCTTCCTGATGAAGAAGAGCATTTCTCCTTCTGCTCCCTCCTGCTCCTTAGGTCACAGCTCCCTCCATAGCAGGAACTGTGCTCCAGTATTACTAAGGGAACAAAGATGAAGGGGTGAAAGGGGACAGAGAGAGCAATGTGTTTACTGAACTATGGAAAAAGGCACCAAATAAGCCTAGCACTTGCATAACAGCTTTTGGTTTCTATTGTACATAAGGAAATCCTTTAAGATTCAGGTGGAATTTCTAAGTTGCCAAAGCAAAGACACAATTACTTCATGATGTCAGTGTTTGAGTTCACAACTGTAAGAACACGGAAGCAGGGGCTGGCAGGTACCAGTAAACCTCAGAGATCTCTCTCCTCACGTTTCCAGATGGACTTTGGTACTAAGCAGACTGAAGGACAGGCAGATGAAATGTCCAAGCTCTCATCAGCAATCCATCCACTCACCTTCTCCCCAAGGCAGGATTTAGTCTGTTATCATCCAGACACACAGGAAGGAGCGAGGTAACCAGGTCTGTCTGCATCAAGTATCCTCCTGGGGTGTTATCAGGAGATCTAAACCGGGTAACACTGCCCAAGCAGCTGAGGCAGGGACAGGGATGCAAACGTCAGCAGCTGGAAACAATGCGACACGAGGACGAGGTGGCAAACACGTGTGGTGCTTTACCTTGGAGGAAGGGGACATTACACACACAGCACTGTCTGTCCATCAGTGCATACAACAGGCAGGAGAGAGGGGTAGAGAGAACATGAAGGCAAGTCTGTGCACTTCAGTCTCATTTTCCCTCCAAACCCAGAGTTCCTGAATGTTTCCCTGTGGAGGTGTGCAATTTTGTCTTGATTGTGACCCAACAACCCCTTAGTTCAGAAGGATGGGCTTCTACAAGTGAAGGGCACTTCAATCTGAGACAAATTCAGGTGAACACCTAAATGACAGGACATCAAGTGTGGCTTCAGTAAAACACAGTATGGAAAGCTCAAACCCCTCCTTCATCTGTCCAACAGAATTCGACTGACTATCCAAATTCCGAGGAACAGAAGAAAAAGAGTATGGTTTAGATTCATTCATGGGATGCCTTCAACAACTTAAACCCCAATAGGGGCTCACCAGGTTTAACTACCCTGCTTCAAAAAACACTGAACTACCACAGAATGGGAATTCAGCTACTCTTATTTCACGTCAGGGATTCACCAGTCCTTGGAGTGAGGGAGGAACATCACCACTAGTTCCAGAACAAGTACAAACCCTCATTACGCTCATCCCCTGCAGCCAGCATCATCACAGGCTGTAGTGAAGGAGGTTTGGCTCATGTGAACCACTAAATCAGACAGTAATGATTTATGTTTGACGTTTTCTTTCTCCTCTTGAATCTTCCAAATGTGCTTTTAGCTGCTCAGTGCTGCTGGTGACCAGTTCCCATCAGAACAACCATTTATTGTTGACAACCTGATATCCTCATTCACATCTGCTGATGGCCAGTCCCAGCCACCAGTGGGGGGGGGGGAGCACAAAAACCAGGGTGACTTTCTGCCTTTTCCATTGACTTTACTAACAACTGCTCACACTTGTATATAGAACCTGAGCAAACAGACTGCTCCCAAGCAGAGGAGGAGGAATAATGCCCACTGGAGTGACAGGGAACACAGAAAATAGGGCACAGTCACTACTCTGGCAGTAAAGGTGTCAGTTAAGGCAGAGTTCTGCCTACAAAGCCACTTCCAGAGAATGGCAAGTGAAGTTGAAGGGAACTCCCCTCTACAGCAAGCAGTGATCAAAGCAGAAGTTCCTGATACACTAAAAACAGACACTTCAGATGCACTTATTTTAGGACCCCCTTCTTCCTGAAAGAGATCAAACTGCAGAGGAGCAAGTGCTCTCCAGAAACCATTTGGAACCCAACCTCCAGGCCAAGGCTGCATTCTTGCTGAAGGAAAGCAGCCACCACTGAAGCCTTTCAGAAAAGGGGTGAAGTAATGCTTGGTGAAATGCAGCACCCTCTTTGTTAATTATGAAGTCCTCTATTAAAACAACACCTAGATACGTCTTAAGATACAGCCAGTAAATTTCAAGCACAAGCCTTAATAAGGCATAAAAGGTGAATTTCTTGTTTGAAGAAAACAATCAGATCAGGGTTCAAATCCTGAAACAAATCAGTAGAAAGGACCTATTTTAGCAGAAGTGCCCACTGCCCACACAGCGTTGGCTTTCAGGATGGAGCCTGGGCAATACACGTAGTACTACATTTCAAGTTACTTCCTTTAGAAAACTGGTTTTATTCTCAGTGTTTCAGGCAATGAAGTATTTTAGTACCTCCACTGTAAATGACTCAAGCTCAGATTTACACTTGAATAAAGCCAGGCTCAATGAATTCAGAGATCCTCTATCTTCCATTTGAGCACTTCAGCAGAGCAGCATGGCAGGAACAAGCAGCTCCGCTCTCAGCTGCACGATGCCGCACAACCAGGCACCTCCCTGGCACAGAACTGAGATGGAGCTCTCCAGCACACTCCAACCACCTCAAGTCTTAAGTTATTCCGGGTGGAAATTCCTATGCAAGTTTCTAAACCCCATCCAGCTACGTGTCAGCTTATTAAACCTGAGATGCAATTAGGATTTGACATGTTTCCATACTTAGTTCACAAGTTTATTATGAAAAACACTGCAGCTCTGTCCTGCAGTCACATTGTTTTACAGAAAAAAACAGTTCTGTTCAAAGTAATTCACTATCCTTGGACAATTACAAGGGACAATATGGAAGGGCCAAGAGTGGAAAAGGGAACTGAGTGCAGACAAAAAAACAAACAAAAAAAAAAAGAAAATCAAATACAATTAAATTAAACAGTATTCCCTGAAAATAAAACCAACAGTTTCAGAACAAATATGAGGCCTTGGTACTTACTTTAAAAATGTTCTTTAAGCTTCAATGATTGTTTGCTGCTACCCTTATCTACAGTCATGCTGAATAAAGCTAGAGCTAAATGGAAAGTTAAATGTATTCACGAGGTGTTAATGTCTACATCTTATTATTTGCAGTCTCTCAGAGAAAGCAAAAGTAACTACAAATAGCGCTATGCCAGAAACTGGTTTCTTGACCAACAATGTTGCTTCAGCATGCAATGAACTGGTTCATTCTAAAGTGGTCACAGTTGTTGACGACAAGAGGCTTTGTATTTGAATATGGCACGTCTTTTGGTCCATGTGAAAACAAGTTTGAATGTTAAATATTTTCTGACACTTTGGAGTTACTGTTGCTCTTCCTGTTTTCTTTAGGTCAACATACGGTTCATGGCCATACTGTACAGGGCTAAAATCTCTTTACAGGAAGTAGTCTGGGGTGCGACGAGTCACATGCGGCTCACCTCTGCGCGGCGCCGGATCGAACTGCAAGCTGAAAAGCACAGCTATTAATGACACTGCCAGAGCTGCCTTTGCATTCAGGTATGTATCACACATGAATTAGAATCATAGAATAGTTAGGGTTGGAAAGGACCTTAAGATCATTCAGTTCCAACCCCCCTGCCATGGGCAGGGACACCTCACACTAAACCATCTCACCCAAGGCTTCATCCAGCCTGGTCTTGAACACTGCCAGGGATGGAGCATTCACAGCCTCCCTGGGCAACCCATTCCAGTGCCTCAGCACCCTAACAGTGAAGAATTTCTTCCTTATATCCAATCTAAACTTCCCCTGTTTCAGTTTGAACCCGTTACCCCTTGTCCTGTCACTGCAGTCCCTAATGAAGAGTCCCTCCCCAGCATCCCTATAGGCCCCCTTCAGATACTGGAAGGCTGCTCTGAGGTCTCCACGCAGCCTTCTCTTCTCCAGGCTGAACAGCCCCAACTTCCTGAACCTGTCTTCATACGGGAGGTACTCCAGTCCCCTGATCATCCTTGTGGCCTCCTCTGGACTTGTTCCAACAGTTCCATGTCCTTTTTATGTTGAGGACACCAGAACTGCACACAATGCTCCAGATGAGGTCTCATTACGGCAGCAGTAATTAATGCAGGTAAGTCTTTTGAACCAGTTAAAGTCTTACTCTAGAGTAAGTGTTCAATTTCTTCTGCTCCTTCTATTAGTACGTATTTATAACCCCCGTATCTTAAACTCCTCTCAGGATTGCTACAAAGGACTTACTCAAACTGGTCACACAGTACTATATATTTAGAAAGTTGAAGCCTCCAGTGACTGTCAAAGGGGGCAGTTTACTCAATGCTTTTGCCTCATTTACTAGTGAAGCTGCTGCTGAGAGAGTTATTTAGAAACCTCATTGAAAAAGATGACATCCTGACATCTGAGGAATTCAAACATCCCAGAAGTCAGGACATCACCTCAGGCGTGACAGAGCACTCCTACTCTCAAATCACACACCTTCATTAAACTCCACTTACACAAAACAAAACCAGGGAGTCTTCCTTTAATCTGACAGACAAGATGTCTTTAGATGTGACTAACCCAACAATTGCACATTCTCTTCACCTCCCAAAAGCATGGGGGGGGAAAAGCCCAACCTTAACACAATAATTACGTAGGATCTTATTGCGGCAGTTATCTTAGTATCAGGGACAGTGTAATTCTCATTTTCAAGCATACTTACAAGGAGTATTTTAGAGTATCATCGAGTTCCATGATTGCCGCCTGGTTGCCACAGCGGTAACAGTAATTTGGAGCGCTGAAAATTGTTACTACATTTCGGTCATGGCACCAGTTGTACCCCTGGAGAGGGAAAGAAAGGGAATGATGACAGCCAGCCATGTTCACTACTTGTATCCACCCCATATAACCACCTGACTAGCAACTGGATTTTCAATGTGCAAAACCCCAGGTGGCAGTTGTAGGGTCATCTGAAGTAAGATGAAGGCTGTATCTTTGTCTTCTTGAAAGAAAAAGGAGTTTTGGCCTTCATATGTTGTTTCTTACTAGTAAGCAAGAAGTAAACATTAAAAATAATGCACATTTATGTGCATTTTTTTATTGAGGAACTCGACATTTATGTTTAGGAGCCTTTTCACTTACACAGAAATACAATACCACATCTACTGCTAGCATCTCTTTTGGGACATTACTGTGAATTGTCAGAACAGAGGCCAAATTAAAGGTTACTCCACCGTTAAATCGAGAAACGCCTTTAGTAGCACATGAACACTGTCAGAGTGGAGTTTCTGAAGCCTTTGAGCTGGATCAGCAATTGCTGACAACAGCACATGCACATCTCCAATGCACGGAGTATGGTATTAACGGAGCAGCTCTGCAGTCAGAAGTTCAAACACCCAGGCTGTCCTGCTTACCTCCATTACCAACTGATGAGCTCTCGAAACCAACGTAAGGCCGTTAGCATGGTTAAAGGTTTCTGAAATATCCTGTCCAAACGTATAACCTGCACCTCGAGGAGAAATGCCCCAGCCACCACGATCATCCGGGTCTGACCATAACAAGTCACACATTGGACCCTGCAACAGACACAGAAGATGTTTCAGGAACAGAGTGCAAAAAACCAAACCCAAACAAAACCCCAGTAAACCTCCACGTGCACCACCCCTGCACAACGAGTGCATTAATACTGCCAAGAAGGTGACCTGAATGAAGAATATTCACAGCAGCAGTTCTCACCTCCAACATCATTCAGTTGTACCTGTTGTGATTCCAGGCACACTACAATGTTTCTTTCTTTAGGCAAGAGCCTGCCCCTTCACAAAACTGCAACAGGAAGCCAGGCACTTTCAACCTGCTAAGTTGTGAATTTCATTTTCAGCCTGTGTACTCAAGCACGCAGTATGTGCTGAATCATGGATCCCACCAGTTCAGAAGGTTAGTTGTCAGTACCTCATGGGGAACTTCCTGCAAGCGATCAAGTGCTCTGATGTGATCCAGTGTATCTATCGATGGAGACAGGCCACCGTGTAGGCAGAAAATCTGCAACAATGAGATATAATCAATGTAAATGAAACTTCATCTATCAGTACAATTGTAATTGATCAGTACAAATAATTAGGATAAAAATCATCAAGAGCTTCCTTTAAAACTGAGAGCTGATACAATACAGTATTATCAGCTCCTCTTACAACTAGGAACGTTTAACACCACCAAATACCAACGTACCTGGCCATCCACCAAGGCAGTTAGAGGCAGGTAATCAAAAAGGTCTGTGAAGTATTTCCAAACGTTTGCATTTCCGTATTTTCTTAAACATTCATCATAGAAACCATATACTTGTGTGATTTGCCTGCTTTCGTGGTTCCCTCGGAGAATTGTGATGCGTTCACGGTATCGGACCTAAACATAACACCTTAGTTTAGAAGCAATAAAACACATGTCTTCCCCAAAACCCTCACAAAACCATCTGCCCCCCTCACCTCCCATCACGTGTCAATAAAGCAGTGAAAACCAAACCCTTCTTAAGATGAAGAGTCAGTTATAACCTTTGAGAAAGCAGGGATAATTCATTCAAATCTTCAGCTGCCCAGTACTTTGGAGATGAATTCTAGACGTTATTCATTGTTACTAGTGGACTTCACTACATCTGGGCATTAAGATGCTCTCCCCAAGAGAATTATTAAGGATTGCTACTTAAGCAAGTCAAAAGAAATACAGCATTAACTGAACCTTTCAGAAGCATCTTAAAAAACCAAGACAGCCAACATTTCAGTTTCTATACATAATGCCAATGTAATACAAATCGTAAGAGATATTAAGCACAGTCAGGATAGTAAATACATACATTATTATACAGAATCATACAGCAGAGAAGAAAAGGTACCTTAAGAGCTACAAGCAATGTGACTGTTTCGACTGAATAATAGCCTCTGTCAACATAGTCCCCCATAAACAAATAGTTTGTGTCTGGTGATTTGCCTCCAATTCTGAAAAGTTCCATGAGGTCGTGAAATTGTCCATGGACATCTCCACAGACTGTGACTGGACATCGCACCTCCTGTACGTTAGACTCCTTTGTCAGGATTTCCTTAGCCTGGAGAACAAAACACATATATTGTGAACCTGTCCATGAACAGTCATTGCATTCTGAGTATGCTCTATGCACTCCACCAGTTGATCTCTTCATAGAATAGTTAGGGCTGGAAGGACCTTAAGATCATCTAGTTCCACCCCCCCCGCCATGGACTCTTGTCCCTTCCTTCGCTGAAGTGCTTGAGATAAGAGCTTACTGAAAATGCCATTTTGCTTTATGCAGCCCCGTATTAGCAGCAGCAATTTGGTTCGATGGTTTCTTCCCCTCCTTGAGGAAGGTATCTCAGGATTAATTTCCAGCATAAGACAAACTTCAGACTTTCTACACAAATGATTCCATGAAGCCTACATCAACGATCACCACTGCTCCGACTGCAGAAGTCCATAGGAAACACGAAATCTAAAACTTACGCCAGTCTTGTCTCCAATTCAAAGCCTGAACTGCACATGACCAAAACCAAGGCTCTCCCTTGGGGAGGTAAGTGCAGGAAAAGCTCTCTGAACAAGTTTTGTGCTTAAGTTGTGTCTTCAGGAACCAAAGGAAGGAAATGCCTTCCCTGTACCATTTTTTCCCCACAAAACTTTGTATGTAGCAGTTGCAGACAAAGGCAATTTGTGTGAAGAACAAACTAAATATAGCATCAGAAAGGTAACTTTGAAATCTCCTGAATTCCTTACTCGTACCATCACACTGCCAGTTGCTGCAGCTTGTTCTCAGCACAGCCACCAAACACATGCCACAATAATTTTCTAAATCAAGGGGGTATTAGGAATATAAATAGTAACAAGTTTACATCTACAGAGATTTCCATCCCTTTCGACTGCCAGTGCCCCTGTTCAGACAGGATTCCTTTTCTGCCTCACTGCCAGAATGACAAGAGAATGTACAAAAACTATTTTCCGTTTTATAACCCAAGGTATCTACAAGATTTGCAGAGACAGCACCAAATATCCATCTATGTGTATCCCACACTGGATCCAAAATGTTCTGAAGCACACATCAGATGGATGAGCAACACCACATTCGTTTTAGGGTCACTTATTCTTAACTTCCTCAAACCCACCCTAACAACTAAAGCAGGGTACTCATTTTTGGGGGTTCTGCTAAGCAAAGTATTTTGAGACAATATTAGAAAATTCACCATAATCCAAAGAGCATTAGAGTTTAAAAAGGTTAGGAAAAGCATTTGAAGTTAAAATCTAAGCAGTATATTGAATACTGGGTATTGACATGAGCGAAACCATTAAGAGACATGTTGTCCACCCTCTTCACGAAGCCATCAGCTGCACAGAAGTGGTCTCACTGTTGCTGCACATGGTCCAGGCTAACCACCACAGTCACCACTTCAAACAAGAGGAGCACCAGCCACACGCAGTTTAGTGATGGAAGGTCGTGAAACTCAGTGTTTCATTCAATACTAGGAAGAAATGCAATTGTGGTTTAGCACCCTGCACAACACTGAGCATTAGATACTACAGCATGAGCAACGGAGTTAAATCACTCTGTAGACATATTTACATCAAAAGTCAATCTCATGTGACAGTTTCCACTCATGCTCTGCCTAGTACTAAAGATAGGTCATTGCTGGCTTGTGGTGGGTGCTAAAAGTGTACATTTATTTTAAGATAGCCTGACTTAAGTTCATTTTTATGCAGTGACACTCACCGGATGTTTTGAAGGTGTTTTAACAGCTTTCGCCTCTTCTAATACGCTATTACATTCAGAAGCTTTAGCCACCTTAATTCTCCTTTTGACAGAGAATGTTGCAGATGCTGATAGTGCTTCAACATGAAAACGCTCCTCTGTAATTAGGATGCTTTCTACTGCTGTGCTTTCTTAGCGCAGTGGAAGCACTGCACAAGGAATGCAGCATTCATTTTTCATCAAAGGCATGCAACGTTTCTGCTGACTGAGATTAAACTGGCACCGTTCTCAGCAACGGAGCTGTTGCTTCCTCAGTTTCTGAAATATTAAATCACTCAGATATGCATATGACCAAACACCTACGGAAGTCACACAGCTACTCTCATGGAAAAAGACTGTTCCAGGTCAACCTGCAGAACGGCGATCTCCATTTAAATCCTGCAGTGGGGGAATGCTGGTTCAGGGATTTCAGCATTTCCATGTTCTGAAATAAGTTTCATGGACTACTGTGTTACAAACTGCTCAGCCCAGTTACTGCCTTATGTCCCACAGCATTAACAGTGGCATATGTTAACATGCTTATGCAGTATATTCACCTCTACTAAAGAGCTTCAGAAGAGCTGGAAGCAGAAAAAAGTAACACCGTGAAAACAAGCCACCAACAAGTGGTTCATGAACTATACCCACACGTCCACGTTACATCAATTCCTATGAAAGGGTAAAGCAAAAAATGTTTTAACGCACTGTACCATAACACAAGTTGGTACAGTAACAGTACATGTAGTACTACAATTTCACAACTCAAGTTCCATGGAGGTAAGCTGCCACTACTGAAGTGTCTGTGACCCTGAACCTGTACTGGACCCCACCATCCTGTGCAGTCTCATCTGGTTCCACTCCCTCATTACTGATCTTTGCCCCGAGATTCACAATGATGCTACTTGCTCAGCCACATCACGCAACTCCATCTTCTTCCCCAGCAAACTGGGCTTCCCACCAGCACTCTCTTACACTTCCTCACAGTGAGGAATGAGTAGAGAATTTTTCAGCAGCCTTCAGTAGAGTGTACTTCTTGATCAAACCACCTGATGAAGCCGAACTAGAGGAGAAACACACACTGAATTCCTTGTACTTCAAAATCTCATTGACCTATTGCCATGATGCTAACAGTGCAACACTTGGCAGTATTTTGCCATCAACGTTTTGAAACATCCAGGTTTCATTCCCTGTCACCAAGATAAACAATTATGCAATTCTGAAACTCTTGAACTCTTACTAGTGCTTTTATTTCTGTGTCTTCTCTCAGTTCTTAACAATTCTTAACATTAAGACAGCATGTCTTCGATCCTTTTAGCGACTGATGATAACCGCACACCACAGGAAGTTTAACACAGGGTGGGCATTCTATGATTTAAAATAGGTTAACTTAGGCAAAAACTCAGTATCACAGCCTACTACATTATGGTTAAGATGCTACCTCCAAATCAGCTGAACTGTTTACTCAGCACTACACACTCCCAGCTTTCAAAATCAAGTGCAAATGAATAGAGAACAAGACTGAAAAGAACCCATTACATTAAGTTGATAAATGCAGACTTTACAGCCAAGCACCAATAAACTCCAATGCAGAAAAAAACATGTAGCTATCAGACATGGTTGCACAAGATCATAAGAACTAAGAAAATGCTGTCATAGACAACTGCTGAGGTTGAAAGTCACATATTTTACTTAGTGCAACCTCAACATTTCACACAATAAGCACGTATCAAGTACACTTAAGCTCAGTCATAGTGACTGGAATTCATTCCTACTTGGTATCTGAACATTGGCTTACTCAGCCGTTTTGCTGGAAGGAAGCAACCTGTACCATCCCAAAACACCCAAAAGACAACTAGAATAAAACCACTACTGGGTTAAACTCACAGAAAACAACAAATTTTCACTTTATTGTAAAGCAAGTAGCTGGTATTTAAGAATTAAAACATTCTGGACTGCTGCACATCTCCACTGGCAGATGAACACTAAAGCACTGTTCTATTGCCTCTGTTTACAAAGCACATTCATGCAGAACACTGTTCTTAAAATACAAAGACTAGCTTCATTGTTTTAGGACAATGCAAGATCCAAGTGTAAACTCTGCATTTTATAATGAACAGTCAGGGACATTAATTAAAAACCCTGTAGTACAATTAAAGCTACCATATGATTTTCAGGTCTTCACAATGATATGCAGGGGGCTGTATGTCTGCAGAGGTATCTCCTATTTCCCTGGTTCCCTGTATGTATCTTTACCCTATACGCCACAGATTAAGGTTCCAAAACAAGGGCCATATAAGCTATAATCCATCCAGTCTCTCTTCCAACTTACTCTTACACCGAGGACAAGCGAGTTTCCCTCATAAGCAGAGTACATCACCAACCCTGCCAAACAGAACTCATTTTAAGTGGTCCATTTCTAAAAAGCCCTATTAATCCATCTGTACCCAAATTCCTTTGTACTTCCAGAACATACCAGGAGGTTCTCAATTACTCTAACCCCTTCTTAGAGCCATACATTCTAGCAGGAGCTCTGCCAACTCAAACGAAGTATCCACCC